GTGGTTGTTTCCCAGGACAGCATTTGATACAAATCCTGTTTGCTTTATTTTGGGAGAAATCCCAAACTGACAGACGTAAGATCCGTTTGCAAACTGGGTGAAGAACATACATATCTTATGACCCAAAGATCATACTCCACCAAAAAACATTGACCTATTCAGGCATCATCACGGCAGCTGACCACACTAATGGTCTTCATGTAGGGAACTGAACCGAACCAGGGTACCAGATACAACACAACAAGTGTCTGGGTGTCACAGGTCTTTTATTCCATGTTACCATGACTAAATCATTCACATCAACATGATTATAAAACAGACACACGTCCACCTGGTGTTCCGCCAACAAGGCAAGATATAATACAGTATATACAACAACATGAACACAAGGACGACATTGTGGTCGCTAGGCACTGGAATCTAACATGCGTACATGTAGCTCCAGTTTACATCAAACGTAAAATACTCCCAAACACCATGGCGTCGCAGTTGAAGAGAGCTATATTTAGTCGAGTTATCCCAGGTTCGACACAACCGCAAAATGACAGAAGGAATACACGGTCACTAAGCTTTTACTTTGACACAACCCTAACTTTGACACAAGTCCGACACAAGGGTGTAAAAATTATCCATCTTACCCTTTGGGTAAATGTTACATTCTTACCAACCTTTGGGTGTGATCAGAATATACAGCAAACTGAAAATGTGATGCAAAAACTACTAAGAGCCAGTCTGAAACTTCTTCCATCCAGCAAGCATGGTAGTCCCACTCCCTAAGTATATGAATGTTGTACAGTGTGGGTGAGCTCTAGAGAGAGTCCCGAGCATCAGTGGCAACTGATTACTGTAATTCTCCTTCAACAGTGTTACCTGTGAACATTCACTGTTGGCTTGTTGTATGTGGCAACCCCACACTGCTGTGAGCAGACGTGTCTAGCACTCATTCACGGCCACGGCGCTCACACTTATCCAGCATTGACAATATGAAGTTGGTCAGTTCAGAGAATCATTTTCTTCAAAATACTGGACAATAAAACAAAAAGACGACATAACAATCAGGGCTCACTTGCACAGAGCAATCTTAGAGCTACGGCAATCTAAAGCCTATGTTAGAGTATGGAACTCACAATCATTGTAGCGCTAAGATCGCTTTGTGCAAGTGAGCCCTGATCTTTTGTCTTTGAAATATTACCTATTCTTCCCAAACTGCACTGAAGACTGACCAATGCTGTCTGTGCAATGATGGGACACATGTTCTTCTATTTCTTCCAGAACCTTAGTGCATCTTCATGATACACAAAGCCAACACATGAAGACAGAGTTGGGCTCGAAACCAGCTTTCCACATTGGTCCATGAAGCTGGCCACGAAACCTTCTTCGTGATGAATTGTTACGATGGTCAGAACATCCTTACAATGTACGAACGAACAATGATAAATGCAACAGAGTGGCTTCTCACTATAAACAAAACAGAACTAACCTAAAATAGGTTAATCAGCGAGTTGGTGGGGTGACGTGTTATTGAGTTCCTAAAGTGAGTATTAACAAAGGAAGGATTCAAGAGTCTAACACTTCATGAAGCACAGGCCAACTCAAATATTCTATTCACACTTTGCCAAGGATCAAATCATTGATTCAACAGAAAACTATGACGTGGGGTCAAATTTGGCTTAAATATCTTAGCTTATTGTAAGCATGGACCCTTGGTTTAAGTATGTCATTTCATCTTGTGGATCCCATATCTTCTACTGACAGGTTAGGTGTAGTTCCATGATTTGCAAAATGGTTGATTGGTGCCATGAAAACCATTTTTATGGTTACTCTTGTGTCAAGTGCACAAGGTCAGATTAAACTCACTGTTTGCCTAAAGAGGTGTTACCATATTATTATTTATCCAGTTTTAGATTGATAAAATTAAAAGTCTACATTTAAGTAAAGTTATGAATTTTTGTGATCCTTAGCAAAGTGTGAGTAGTATATATTCACATCTTACATGTGTTTGGTAAGCAAGAATGGTTTGACAATATTTTGGTTGTACTCCAGGAAGAGGGACTCAAAACAGAGAGTAAAAAGACAGTTCTCGAATCCCATTCCACATTTGGGAAGACAAAACGCCTAGTTATTAAAATGTTTCTCAAGGCTGAAAATTAATGACATTGTCACATGGTTGGATTCTCTGCATATCAGTCTCAATGTGTTGCTGTGCAAACATGCTACTGCTGGGAACAGACAATACATTTTCACAAAACCAAAAATATGTCATATATTTTAGTCACCCTGTTTTAATATAAACATGAACAAACAGAGCACCACGAATCTGATACTGCCTCTCAACACAGGTATGTTGAAACAGGAGCATCAACTCTCGGCATCATTACTTTCACTGGGTGAGACACATTCTGATCACCTGCTGTAATGATTTCATTGAGTGATTACTGCATACGTTTAGTCAATGAGAGATGAGTGGAGTTCAATGCCATTCATAGCAATATCGAGCCATATGTAGGTTTCACAACCATACCTATGTTAAGAATCAAACTCTGCTCCTTGTCATGATGAATACAAAACACAAATGTCCAACATTATTCCACACATGATCATATTAACAATGAAAAATAAATGCCAAAGATGTATAAACAAATCTTTAAAACTTTGTTAAGAATGTTACATATCTAGAAATGATAAATTGAAAATGCTGACACTGAAAATGGGATGAAAATCTTACAAGATTAAAAGTATCATTATGCGACTGACAAGAGTGTAAGGAATACACTGGAAGCATAAACTCTGTACTTATAGACTTGGAACAGGAACATTCTCAAAACAACCTTCAGGAGTCAACAAAATCAGAAATGCCACAGCCAAATATTCCCAATCTGTCATCCAAGGAAATAATGATTTAAAACCCCAAATAACCATATTGAAATATATTTGCTATTTCATGTATTCATACTTTTGACGACCGCCTCCGTGGTGTAGTGGTGAGAGCGTCCGCCCGGAGAGTGGAAGGTCGCGGGTTCGATTCCCGACCACGCCATACCAAAAGACGTTAATATATGGTACTTGTTGGTCCCTGCCTGGCGCTCGGCATTAATGGGTACAACAAGGACTGGTCGGCTCGGAGTTAGTATAATGTGTCTGAGTGGGGTATTCATGCTTCACTGTGGCATGGTATCTCAGTGGGCTAGCACTATAAAATCAGCTTTAGTCTGGGCTAGTACAAGCAGCCGCACATACACATACACACATGCACGTCGTCATATGAGCGAAATATTGTCAAGCACGACGTTAAACCCAATTTCACCTCACCTCAAACTTTTGACTTTGATGCCTCCATGATTATGGTAGCCAGTATTTCATGGCACATGGTTCAATATGATATATATAGACTCATACCATCTTGTAGATGTTATGTTGCAGTTTCAGTGAGCGTGACCCTGGCACCACCCAGGTACAACACTGAAGACCAATCACACAAAGTGTCTTGTTCTGGGGAGAATCCAGGATTTTAGAGAAGAGGGGTGCACATAAATCATGAAGTCCAAAGGTTAGGGGGGAATGCTCCTCAGGGCACATTTTTTCGGGGATAAAGGGGATGCTGCGCAATGCCCTACCCCACCCCTCCCCGGATCCACCCCTGTTGTCTAAATGCAAAATGGTTGCAATCACAGCCCAATAGAATAATGAAGTCAAAAACATGAAGCAATTCCGCCGATATAAATGAAACTGTATCTGTGAAAGTAATAAAACTTTGAATAAAAATTAACATAACTACCAGAAAAAATGAGTATATGAGTTGTGTTGAATGTGAGCTGTGTTGAATGTGAGCTGGGTTGAATGTGAGTTGGGTTGAATGACACCTTGAATACCAATCCAGTTATATCAGACCTTATCAGCTCTACATGTAACGAGGAAGGAAGCAATGTAGGTCTCTGACGTTACTACTGAGGTGTTGACAAACCTGGAAACAATCGCAGTGAACTGACATCTGAACCATCAAACACAGGTGTCTTGCAGCCACAGGGACAACACTCCACAGTAGACAGTGGCACCGACTCGATCATCCACACCCCGACAGGTGAGAAAACAAAATTATGAAATGACAGGATTTAAGTACATAAGAAGTCCCTCTCTACAACAGAGAAACAGATATGCCGCCCTTTGGAATCAGTGACATCAAAGTTAAACAGAGTTATTTTGATTGAGAATTCTTCCTATTTCTGATTGCCATTCGTATTTAATGTGATGTAGAAGGGGGCTTCAAGACTGAAACCTACATGAACTTTTAAAACCTACTGTGTAAAGTGTGGACTCATCGTAAAATGATATTTCTGTAGACAGTATCTGTTACCCAAAAGACGAGGAGTATAACGATAAAAGACTGGTCAGTGACAGTCACAGGTGGAACACATATCCATGTCCTACCCACTTTACATTCACTCCTCACGATCTCATTTCATCACAGGATAAAAGCATATGCCTATGTTTCTACTTTGCCACAATTACAAAATACCAAATTGTTCCAGTGATGCCAGAGACATAAGACATTGAGGTACTAGTCATACCAGTACTGATACTAAGGTACATCATACCAGTACTGTTACTAAGGTACATCATACCAGTACTGATACTAAGGTACATCATACCAGTACTGATACTAAGGTACATCATACCAGTACTGATACTAAGGTACATCATACCAGTACTGTTACTAAGGTACATCATACCAGTACTGTTACTAAGGTACATCATACCAGTACTGATACTAAGGTATGCTATGATATCAGTACTGATACTAAGTTCACATGAAGATGCTCAGCTGAAAGGTGTATGCCTTCCTTCTGGATGTTCCCCTGCTCTCCTCTGTCCATATTTCATCACATCTATATTTCACTTTGCAGAATAGGACATGAACGGCCAAAAACAGTGTGACCATCGAACTAAGGTGATGTCAGCCCCCTTGTCCAGCACAACATCCACAGCCAGGACCCCACATCTTCTTTGTTCAGGGCGTCTCGGGAGGTGAAGTGGTGTCCGCGGAGCCTTTCCGTTTTGTAGGCGGCTCGTCACCACAACCATCCATCGTCCTCTTCTTTCCCACAGGCTAATGGAGGGAAAGATACGAATACTGAGGTTAATATCTGGTGAAACCACATCACACATGGATATTGGGAAGGGTCAAAACTATCATTGCCAAACTGCAAACACACCATTACTCAGGGATGAGAATGAAGTTTTGAGAAAAACTCTGAAAACTAGATGGGGGTCTGGGGTCCGCAGGATTTAGACGATTCACAAAAATTACCCTTGGCCTTATGAAATTCCCGGAATTCCTCGGAAAATTCTCATCCCTGATTACTGCCATTGCTAAGATCAAAAGAGAGAGTCTTGACAATTCATTTGGTTGACTATAAAATCACTGGCAACAAAAATAGTTTTCATTGGAAGAAGATAGTAGACAGCAACTGACAGCAATCAAGATGTGTTGCAGCAGACCTGTCAAACACAGGACTCCCTCCCAGATAGCATTCAGACATTGGCCCAACATTGGCAATGCTTTTGCCAACATTGCCAACGTTGGGCCAACGTCCGAATGCTATCTGGGCTGAAGTCTTCTGAGCTAATCATGGTATAAGCATACATTTAGTATAAATGACATATTTCCCTACATGCCAAACAAGTTTAAAAAGATTGACATGACTACATTCATTTGATAAACTGTGAGGATCATGTGGACAATGTGTCTGTGAGACAGTGGAAAAATACTGACCACCATTGTTGGGGGGACCATTCCGTCTGCTTCTGGGTACATCAGTTTATTGGCCTTGATCTTCATCTCCTCATCCTAAAACCACACAACAGCAACCCTGACCTCATGTAGAATATCTATTATCAGAGAGTGCATGATTTTGTATAACACTACTTTGACAAGTGACATCACACCATTTGTTGTTGGAGGAAAGCTCAATGGTGCACGTCTCTAGAGGAACCCACTGACAAATCAAGAAGCATTATCAAGGGAAAGGACTCGTACTTCTTGTGAACACCCTATTTCAGTTTGTTGCACACAGAAAATCCCTTTAACGTAAATGAACATCTTCCCACCCTGCAGCATCAGTGGTATTGATGCCAAATACACAACAGAAGTGAAACCAGTTACCATGACAACTCACCCTAAACCATGGATGTTGCAAGGCCTCAGACAGTGTGATTCTCTTCTTTGGATCCACCGTCATCAGCTTCTTGATCAAATCTATGGCTGAAACAGTTTTATGAATTATGAGCAAGTATCCTTAACGCATAGTAGTTTCAACACATGAAAACTGTAAGACTCACAGTGAGCAAGCGATAGCCAGTATCCTTGGACTATCCGTGGTGGAAAGCCTTTTTGATTGGTTGGTTGTTGTTTAATCCCCTGTTTATATATACTACAGGCTTCACGTGACACCCCCGTGTGTATTTTGCAGGCTTCACTTATTAACGCTTTTATCAAAGCCCTTGTGTTGTTATTGTGTCTGGATTCCTAATCCCCTATTGTACTGTATAAACATCTCCTCTAATTTGTATATATGCTCCTCTATCCTCATGCTATTTATCACTTGCTTGATAACGGTGTTAGCACCTACACTGAAACGTCACTCTCACAGCAATAAAGTTGTTTATTCATATATTGTTACCCTTCCTTACTGCTCCAACTTCTAAATGCCTCTCAAAGATGTTGCCTACTTGGTTGACACATTGTATCCCAATTACATACTGTAAACGTAGTTATTTTCGTGTGGGATTAATTTTCGCTCTTTTAGCGCAAAAAGATTGTGCATCAATAATCATATCAAGCGAAATATTCACAATAAATACTCAAGTAGGGACAAGATGCAATTTATAAACAACAAACACTACTTTATGATTTCTATGTTTAATTATCGTAAGTACTATAGTATACACTGTTCCTGAATTCGTCAGTTGATCTCGCATATGGGACAGGTGTTGTCATGTTGACACAAGTATAATCCCACCTCTCTCTCTGATTGTTTTAGTAAACACGATTCAATTATGGCGGCAAGCTTTGATCACTGCATGCCTATCGGTTGTGATACCATCACTCAGGTGTCTGAAATGCGCGAAAAAACAATTGCGCTAACAGGTCTTATGTGAACTTTCCGCGAAAATTGCGCCCCGTCAAAATATATATGATTACAGTAGATTGATGCTCAAGTCTTTGAGGTTGGTTGTTAGGGTTCGGGTTCCGTCCCACTGGATACTGTGGTCGGGATTGTCTGTGATGTGATCTGAAAGGGCTGGTTTTGAGTCAAGTTTAGATACTGAGGCTTAATGCTCTTTGATTCGGGTTTTGAGGGGCCTTGATGTTTCACCTACGTAGGTATGTTCACAATCGCATGTGGCGGGTAAACTGTACCCTGTGGTTGTTGTTTCTGGTTGCAGGTGGCTTGCCAGTCGCTTTGATGGTGTTGAGGATGCTGTTGTTTCTCACAGCAATATTGGCCTGTTTTATCAGGAGTCCCTGGAGTTTGTGGCTGACAATTGTGTACTAGTGGGAGGCTGATGATAAAGGGTGCAGATTGTTGACAGGTGGATTTCTCTGTTTTGTTTTTGAAGTTCTGTATGGCTTGTTGAGAAAGCTGTAAGCTGTAGTTAATGTACTGTGTGAAGACTTGTTTCAGGTGTTGGAGTTCGGTGGTAAGGTGTTGCTTGGTGAAGCAGATGATTCCTCTCTTGACTCGGGGTGGATGGTTGGAAGCGTGGTGAAGGTACTGGTCTGTGTGGGCTGGTTTTCGGTAAACTGTAGTGCTGAGCTTGTTGCTGGTGTCCTTCAGTACTGATCCAAGCCTGACCATTCAATGCCGTAAGTTACCTCTTATGACAAGCATTGGTTGATGAAGACCAATTCTAAGCTTTACCGGCTGATGCAAAGCAGTAACAGGAATCTCGCCTGTACCCTTAGGCTATCCATGATGGGAGGCAGTACTAAGCAGTTAACTAAGGTGTGTTACTTGAGGCAGTATATTCTACAAGGTTAACTAACCCGTGAAGACCTGGGTTAGAATTGGTCTTCAGTAACCCATGCTTGTCGTAAGACAGGATCGGGTGGTCAGGCTCGCTGACTTGACACATGACATTGTATCCCAGTTACGTAGATTGATCCTCATGCTGTTGATCACTGGATTGTCTGGTCCAGACTTGACTATTTACAGACCGCCGCCATATAGCTGGGATACTGCTGAGTGCGGAGATAAACAATTACCAATCCAAAACAATATTTCAAGGTTAACGAGAAATGAAATCTTGAAAAGATTACTGCTAGTATTTGCCTTTCAAGTGGTAAGTCCTACATGCATGAAAGAATAGATACAGCAATGGAGATGGCATCTGACTGGCCCCACCCCCCAGCTGCAACTGACCTGCTTCTGGCACCCCCTCCCAGTACTGTGTGGGGAAGCTGAAGTGGCCGCCCATGATCTGTTTGGGGAGGTCCATGTCCTTCCTCTCATCAGAGAAAGGTGGATAGCCAGACAGCCTGCAACAGAATCCGTAAAATACAAACATCTTTAAATGCATGCAAATAAGAAAAAGCCATCTATTAATGCATGCAAACAAGAAAAAGCCATCTATAAATGCATGCAAATAAGAAACAACCATCCATAAATGCATGCAAATAAGAAACAGCCAACTATAAATGCATGCAAATAAGAAACAGCCAACTATAAACGCATGCAAATAAGAAACTGCTAACTATAAATGCATGCAAATAAGAAACTGCTAACTATAAATGCATGCAAATAAGAAACTGCTAACTATAAATGCATGCAAATAATACAAAGGAATAAAGGAAGGCAGTAATTGAATGATCACATTAAAATCAGGAAAAGAACGAGGGAGGGTGTATAATACTGCATTTATTGTTAGCTTGTATGAATGTAAAAGATAACAGACACAAATATTAAACACACTATATATGTTTACAGGTTTATATTCATAGTTATTCAGAGACAATATAAAAACAATGCATTTACTGTTTCAAAAACTGTTTCATACAGATGAATAAGTTCCCAAATGTATTTGATTTTATGAGTGCTTCATAACTCATGTGTCTTACTTTGTTTAAAATAATCAAGCATATTAAAAAGTCATGTATTGTGTTATTTTTCTCTTCACATTCTATGCTTGTTGCTTTAAAGCATTCATGATGTTTTGCATCTCCATCACCGCTATTTCCAAAAGTCACCCAGCATTCAATGTGCTCATTTCTCGTCACTGTAATCAAGACCGCCTCCGTGGTGTAGTGGTTAGAGCGTCCGCCCGGAGAGCGGAAGGTCGTGGGTTCGATCCCCAACCACGTCATACCAAAAGACATTAAAATATGGTACTTGTTGGTCCCTGCCTGGCGCTCGACATTAATGGGTACAACAAGGGCTGGTCGGCTCGGAGTCAGTATAACGTGTCTGAGTGTGGTATTCATGCTTCACTGTGGCATGGTATCTCAGTGGACTAGCACTATAAAACCAGCTTAAGTCTGGGATAGTACAAGCAGCCACACATACACACGCATGCACATCGTCATATGAGTGAAATATTCTCAAGCGCTATGTAAAACCCAATTTCACCTCACCTCACTGTAATCAAAGCTGAATTCAAATGGCCTTGTTTCAGGTTGTCTGTTGTCTGAACACACATCCGACATATTGTCATTCCAAGCACACTTGATGTTCAAGTAAATCATGAAAGTTTACACTGGTGAATGAGCTCAGAGTATTCCAGCAATATCATGGCGGGGACACCAGAAATGGGCTTCACACATTGTACACATTGTGGACCGCCCGAGTGGTTAGAGCGCCAACCCGAGAGCCGAAGGTCGCGAGTTCGATCACCAGCGCTACCAAAAGAGCGCTAAAATATGGTACTTGTTGGTCCCTGCCTGGCATTAATGGGTACATCTCAGTGGGCTAGTCAGTATAATGCCTCTGAGCTATTCATGCTTCACTGGGCATGGTATCTCAGTGGCCTAGCACTATAAAACCAGCTTCAGTCTGGGCTTGTACAAGCAGCCGCACCTACACATACACACGCATGCACGTCGTCATATGACCGAAATATTCTCAAGCACGACGTTAAACCCAATTTCACCTCACACCTTGTACACATTGTGAGGAATCGGACCCAGGTCTTCGGCGTGACGAGCAAATGCTTTAACCACTAGGCTATCCCACTGCCCCTTTAAGTTGATCATGAGCAGAGGCCAGAGTTACTTCATCCCTTCAGCTAACATCACCTCATCAACTCATTCACATGCATTTTAGCTACTATAAGGTAGCAGGGTCTTCCATTAACTTGGTGAAGGACAGGAGTTATTAACAAGGTTTTAACAAGTACTGCAGCATTATTTCCTAGAAGGCAGTTTGTTGGTAAAGTATAATGGTTGTTCATAAATATGGATGCCATAATCCACGCATTGACATACATTGGAAATACTTTAAGATGTCTGAAACTATCTGATGCGTGCCAAACACTGGGAGATATGACTCGTATCACTCACATAATAAACAGGATAACTCCCAGACTCCAGGCATCAATGGCTTTGGTGTATGTTCCACTTCCAGCGGTGATCAGGATCTCTGGTGCCAGGTAGGTGGGCGTGCCACAGAACGTCTTCATCAGAGACCCAGCATCAACAAACTTCGATAATCCAAAATCTGTCACCTAAATAAAGTCAACCAGACAATCAACCAAACTAAGGATTTACATGTGCATAATGTGCAACCAAATGTCTTTCTCCAGTTTCAAAACTGTTTACTCTCAAAAGAAATACGCTTTGCATTGCAGTTAACAATAGTTCTTCTAGAAGTTTGACACAACCACCTTAAATCAGTCCAAAATAAAGTTGACATTAACACTATTGTCCTTTCACATTGCTGGGGTTGGAGTCTTGCCAGGAAAACAAGACAGTATTTACAACCATACCAACAGCTTTCATAATGTTCAGATTTCAAAGATACAATCAGCCCCACATTTTGAACAACAGATTCCTTGTCCAGTAATGGATGGTAGTCAGTGCTCTCTCTGATTACTTGTCCAGTAATGGATGGTAGTCAGTGCTCTCTCTGATTACTTGTCCAGTAATGGATGGTAGTCAGTGCTCTCTCTGATTACTTGTCCAGTAATGGATGGTAGTCAGTGCTCTCATTGATTAACGGATGGTAGTCGGGTCCTCACAGGAAGACAGCTCATTGATTAACGACGATAGGAAGCATGGTTGGGGGAATCTGACAACAGTACTATTCATCTGCTACCAACAAAGTGTTGGGTAAACTGACGCTGTCATGACTGGTGTCAGAACTTACCTTTATCACAGTGTCATTTGAGTCAGAGGCCAACAATATATTTTCTGGCTGAAAATAAAGACAGAACTTAATCAGACTCTTAAAAGTTTAAACCTCAATTGTTTCTTTTCATGACTGATGTTTATTTTCAACACATGAGCATGATGAACATATAGGAAAGCAAATGACTTCGAGAAGGGGAAAGATTGTACATACCTTCAAGTCTCGATGAGTAATGCCCTGGTCGTGCAAGTACTGGAAGAAATAAAGCACAATTGCAATCTTTCTTTCTCTCCCTCTCTATATATATTCATATACTAGTATAACATGAAAGAAAAAAGTGAATGAGTTTGGTTTTACGCCACTTTTAGCAATACTCCAGCAATATCACAGCACAGGACGCCAGAAATGGGCTTCTCACATTGTACCCAGATGGGGAATTGAACCCGGGTCTTCACCCCACCACCCCTCCATCACACAAGCATGCTAAGTGAGGATCCCTAGAGTGAGTGTAATAATCCAGGAAGATCTCAGTGAGAGGTAGGTCTTGAGCAACCCATTCTTGTTCCAAGAAGTGGCTATTAGGATTGGGTGGTCAGCTTCACTGGCCTGGTTGATACATGGCATCTCAGACGCATAGATCAATACTGATAATGTCATTCATTGGGTTGTCTGCATCAGACACAATAACTTACAGATGGTGATCATACAGCTGGAATAATGATGAGTGTAGCGTTAAACAAACTGATGAAGACGTGCAGAGTAGATTCATCATTTGTAACCCACCAACACCTGGGGCGGATACAGCTTTTTGAGAAAGGGGGGGTGCACACTCTTGAGAAAGGAGGTGCACACTTCATTTTCACCTGTTTTCACGGGTCATATAATAAACTTTCAGGACAAAAGAGGGGGTGCGCACCCCTGCACCCCACCTCTGGATCCACCTATGGACAGTACAGAATATAATGATGAGGTTTTGACAGTGACAGTTTGTCTTGGAAATGAATCCCACTTGCTTGTATTCCCACTCACACAGAAACATCCTTACCTTACAGGCAGCAACCATCTGGTAGAAGAGAAGTTTGGCTGTGGGCTCATCAAACTGCCCCACGCTAACCACCCGGTCAAACAGCTCTCCCCCTTCCACACTAGAGAGTACGAACAAAACGGGGCATCAGGAAGTGCATGCTAGTAACAAGTGTCCAGGGTGCTGTTCCACTAGCCAATCGTAAACCCCTAAAACCCCAATCTTAGTGTGATGTTACATTCAGCATACAATTCCACTAACCGATCTTACCCAAGATCACCATAAAGCTAAGATCCATAGTTGTTCATGTCCAAATTAGAATCGCTAAAATCAATCTTTGAGGAACCGAAATGGCCGCTTTCATTATTCTTTGTTAAGAAGAAGAGCGTGAGGGTGTTTTTGAGATTGCTCATAGATTATAGATACATTATCAGATGATGGGCTTGTAGCGAGGTACAGGATGTTTATGCTGATAAACAAGATACCTAGCATTCCATGCACTTGCCCTTGCAACCAAGGTTTCTTTTCCACATTTACACTTGGTTCCAAAACTACTTCCATCGTTTGCTTAACTATGCAAAGGGAGATAACTCATGCCTCACATTTTCTATCTCTTGCACGAAAAGAGTCTTGATCTTTGCTATTATCAGATCGTAAGATTGGGACCCGACTACGATTGGCCTAAGATCGGTTTGTGGAACGGCAGTAACTTTTTAGCAGTTTTAGCTAAGACGACTGTAAAATTGGCGATAACTTGCTAAACGATTGATCTTAGATAAGATCGGTTAGTGGAGACGGCACCCAGGTTTTTAGTACACATGTACAGGATGAAAGTTGCTACAGATTACCAAGGGAGACTACTAATGTGTCAGCCAGCACCAGAACCTGGACATGATAAGTATGCCTATATCTTGAATGTATACCTCGTGTTTTAGCTTGATCTTGACTCAACAACAACTACAAACTCCAAGGTGGACAAAGAGACCCTTCTGTTCTTAGCGTGAGGTATACTTACAGCTCGAGGAGGATGTAGAGAGTGTCAGGATTGTCTATCAAGTCCTCGATTCTGATAATACACGGCTGGAAAGGTAAACAGATCCAATGTATCTCAAGTAGGACAACACAGGAAACAATGCATGTTTCAGGAAGAACTGAAAACCTTGATTTATGCTTTAACCACTTTAAACTGATACTCAATTCAACATATACATCTGCCAGACATAAACTCGTTCAAATGATTAATCTCGGAATTATTTTAGCATACTTACATGTTTTAATGCTTTCAGTATTTTCACTTCGCTCATAACCTGGGAAGCCATGTTCTGAAAAACATTTCCTGATTGTGAGAATATTTCTAGATACTTGAGTATAGGGCATACTCAAGCATAATGCACACACCCTCCTCTCGAAGACTCAGGTTTGGGGTAAAATTGATTTCAAGTAATGTGCACAGAAATAAACTACATCATATCCATTCACTGAATCTATGTATTAAACTTGGTAGATAAATATTTCACATTTGAGAAAAATCATCACAAAGTATGATTTATCATTCATATTAAATCTCCTGTTCTGCATTGTTTAACACACAGAGATTAAAATTACTGTTTTCTCTCATCATGCTCAAGATATATGATAAACCAAACAGCACAATGACATGATTTAAACATGTACTTAATTCAGGATATGTTGACATGGTATGTTTAGTGTTGCATGCTCATGGTAATGACTGATAGATAAACAAATACTAACAATCATGAACGTGTGATTCATAAGGTCTCTTTACCTTCGAATCAACAAGGGCAAAATAGATCTTGAGAACAGTTGCAAACACAATCAGTGTCTACTTACTAACTGTGACTTCCCTCCAACTGAGAATTTCTTCTTGGAGATTATCTTGCATGCATACTTTTCACATGATCCTTTCGCAAAGGCTAACCTCACCTCCCCACAAGCACCCCTGGAAAACAATGCAAAAACATGACTGCTTCTTTCCTGAAAACCTCAAACGGTCGTGCTCGTTTCATTTCAGTGAGGTCATTACGAGGTCTGTATCAGGGAAGGGGTTTCATATCTGACAACTGCCATAAGCTGGTTAACAGCTGTTTTTTAGTGAGTGTTAGTGGGAGACTGATTATCTGCACAGTAACAAATCAAGGTTGTCTGTCATGCTGTGCCACCATTGTGGTCATGCAACCCCAATTTTAGGATTTAGTTTTTTGCCTTTGAATCCTCACTGGGAATATCCCTTTGACCCCTCAACCTATACAGTGTACAACATCCAGGGATCTGGAGGCAATGGGTAGTTGAAGGTGAAAGTTCACATGAAGGTACAGTGGAAACCGTCTAAGTAAAGACTGCTTAACGACACAGACCGGATAAGTAAACACTTTTCTCTGGTCCCAGCAAATTTCTTCATTAATTATCACTATAAGAGTCCGGTTAACTAAACTCGGATAAGTAAACCATACCGCTTAACTAAACGTCTTCTCACGGTCCCTGGAAGTAAATTACTTAACAAAAGAGACCAGATAACTAAATTAGCGATCACCACATAATCTGACATGAGGGGCACGTGTCAGCCTCCAGTTAAACAAACATCCTACTTACAACTCGCTGACGTCAAGCAGCTGACAATACCCTGACAACTGGAGGCTAGCCCTGATAAGTTGTTCATTGTTTGATGTAGCTTACGAGTATCAGTGAGTGGACCAAAAGACCGATCCAGTCCCGGCCGATAAGCCCCGCCCACTTCGTTTTTGACGTTAGAGGGACAACCACTGACTAATCACAATGGCGTCCCTGCGGGCGAAACATAAGTGATTGAGAACGTTGTTGATGAATTATGCTTGTGGTACTTTGGTATCCGTCGTTTGTGAATGATATTTATAGAGGCAAGTTATAGGTATGTGATTTTTAATATATTTTAGTTGGCAGATTGCAATTGGCGAGTGAAAATGAGTTACATGCCTGATGAAAAATCGTCTCGGCCAGCTGCTGAGAGTAGGAAGCGTATTTTCTTTCGAATCAATTAATCTATCTGGCAATTCACCTCCGTCAAAGATATCAACTGGGGAAGGGTAACTGAATTTTGTTGTTTGGATTATTTTCTTCAAACATTTCCATCATAATTTATAAAAATCATGAACACATCCACATGTTCATGTTGCAGATCATTTCAGTATTAATAGCTAGATTTTCAATGTTGCGTGTGGCGCCTTTACGTAGTTATCCGTAGGCGTTGTTCAAATTTAGTTAAATAATCTGAAAACATGGGTTTCTATCTTATAATGAATTAAATGAATGCTAAATAAAAAGCAGAAAATATTTCGTGCACCTTATTTGTCTGTATATAATTAATGTAAACAAATCAGTCACAGCACATAACTTATTTGATCTTATTTGGAAATCTGGAAAATGTAATTGGGGCTTGTAAACAGTATGTTTCCATGGACGTATCTGGACATACCCAGAAGCAAATATCCAGCAGCTGATCTGCAGCAATTCTCAGTAAAGTTTCCCTCTTCAAAATATGTACACCATCCTAAAATGACACTGAATATAAGGAAATCCATTTTTTAATCATCCTTTCCATTTTATTTTTCTATACAATGTATGTAGTTTGTTGTGGAATCCTAACTTACATACAAAATATTACTTCCACAATACTTCATGAACTGCCAGCGTTTATGTACAGGTATGTCACAGCACCGGAACACAAAGAAGATCCAAGATACAGTCTGCACCTGTACACTATCTTCCAGAAATAGGAAACCTGTGATGCAAAATCTTTGAACAGAGGATCCACAGTTATCAGAACAAAATACAAAAATATTGTTTTTTTTCATCAAAGATATTTAACTGCTAACTACTAGTGTAAATAAGGTGCAAAGAATATATCCTAAGTTCAAAGCTTTTTGTGAATACAATTACATATTGACAGTATTGCTTCTTAAACAATCATAATCTTTGTTTTATTAGATCTGAGACTATATCCATAGATTTCTAAATTTTGATCTATTTCCTTTTCTGAGATACTTACTTGTGTCAAACAAATTATAGTAAGGTTGATTCAAAATTTGGTAAAAGTCACAGCAAAAGTTTAGGAAAACACACATGAAAAGCATTCACCTCCTACAAACCAAAGTGCAATTTAATATGAAGCTCATTTTCCAAATAACCATCAACAAACCTTGTCCAAAACCAACATCTTAATAAACACTAGCTTTGGCTCAGTCTTCAAATATTAGTAACCTCCTCAAAAACTGATGATTTATAAGAAAAGTTATGTAAAATCTGGGTTAAATATATGTTTCAATATTTATTCCATTACATGAAAAGTTAACTGAGATTTTTGTAAGTTATTCTGTTCCAGGACTTGATAATGCCTGACCAGGATGTGACCAAAACGTAGGGTTGCTTTTTCAAATTCTCTGGATGTTGAAATAACTTTGATGAGTTATGATACTAGCAATCACTTTCAGAATTATCTTATTAGTAAATGTAGTATTTAAAAAAACATCTAAAATCAGGAGCCAACAAACAAAGTTAACACCAAGTGATTGTCCTGCCATGATATGTATAGTGTTTGTTTGCCTAGTTCTGCCTTAAAATCATATGAATCAGTTATGTCAATCAATTAAATAATTATTTATAATTGACTAGATTATTATGCATTTTATTACCCTTCCACATTTACTAAAAAAAAAGCAAGATTCTTAAAAACATACCTTGCTATCATTACCAGTGAATTAATCAAAATGACAGTTTTAATATTGCTCCTAAAATGTACCAATATATGTGAATAATTTTATGTTGTAACAAAACTTCAAATGTCCTCATAATTAAGATATACACTTTATTTCACTCTGCCCAGTACTCCAGAAAGTCACTATTCTTATCACATAGTTTTCGTATTCGATCCACATGGAGGAACGTAATTCAATTCAAAGTCCCATCCATCTGTTTATAAATATTCTGAAATATTTGAAGCATAGTTTTATAGGCACTCATATGAATTAATTTTGATATTTGGATACTGCATGCAAATACTGACACTAGCAATATTTCCGTTTCAATAAAAAATATTACTCCTCAAATATTTTGCACTATTAACAAGATCCTGTGCAGTAGGCCTTCAGCTTGTGTTTTGATACTTTTGATACTCCTAAAACATGTGTGAAAATTTAAGAATATCTAAGAGCAAAGGGAACAGTATCCGCCACATTGTTCTTCAATGTAACAAGTTTTGCTATTTCGGTTGACCCTAGAACCAAAATGGCTGTCAATTTACATTGTGAGATTTCGCTGTCTCATTTCACTTTATTGTGTCTGAATTGTCTGTATTTATAAAACTTGCAAAGTCTTGTAAACTGCTATTGTCTGTGTTTATAACACTCAATTCTTAAACTGCTATTTGTTGTCATCATGTGCAAAAGTGTGGAAATTGCGTGCAATTTCTCATCTGTGGGCAGACGTGGGTTTCGTGAACGATGGTGCAGACAGTTAACTGATAGCGAGGCCTATCGCGCTCCTTGATCCGCCTCAATTTCTTTTGTCTTGACCGTAATGGTTCTTGTTAAAGGTACACATCAAATCGCAGCAACATGTAATAAATATTGCGTGTGTAAATGGCATAATTCGAAGCACATCGCTTCGGAGGCATCGTTTGACCCCGGAAATAAGTCTGACAAATCCACACAGCGCGCCCGGCCTGCTGATTGGCCAAAATTGACACATGCGCCAGTTTTGATTGACAGACTGGATCGGTCTATTAGCAATGTCAGTGAGTTTATAGAATTTACATGATGCACGACTTGAAGCAGGCACGTCACATGACAAGTAATAAAAGCTGAAATCTAGTGGTGAAATCAGAATAAGATCAATTGGAACAAACACAAATTTCACACAAATGCTATCGTATAAAACAGAGGGAATTGTATCGTCAGTCTATTCTGGCAAAATGTCTGAGCAAACTCGCGAAGGACGTAGCTTGACTGGGGGGATGCCGAGATCGTGATTGTGACTGAAATATTTTGTTTGATTTTGTTTTATTATGTTTGATTTTTATTACTTTGTATTATAAATGTATTACTTAACTCAATGAAAGTTTAAGGAAAACACACATGAAAAGCATTCACCTCCTACAAACCAAAGTGCAATTTAATATGAAGCTCATTTTTTCCAAATAACCATCAACAAACCTTGTCCAAAACCAACATCTTAATAAACACTAGCTTTGGCTCAGTCTTCAAATATTAGTAACCTCCTCAAAAACTGATGATTTATAAGAAAAGTTATGTAAAATCTGGGTTAAATATATGTTTCAATATTTATTCCATTACATGAAAAGTTAACTGAGATTTTTGTAAGTTATTCTGTTCAGGACTTGATAATGCCTGACCAGGATGTGACCAAAACGTAGGGGTTGCTTTTTCAAATTCTCTGGATGTTGAAATAACTTTGATGAGTTATGATACTAGCAATCACTTTCAGAATTATCTTATTAGTAAATGTATTATTTAAAAAAACATCTAAAATCAGGAGCCAACAAACAAAGTTAACACCAAGTGATTGTCCTGCCATGATATGTATAGTGTTTGTTTGCCTAGTTCTGCCTTAAAATCATATGAATCAGTTATGTCAATCAATTAAATAATTATTTATAATTGACTAGATTATTATGCATTTTATTACCCTTCCACATTTACTAAAAAAAAGCAAGATTCTTAAAACATACCTTGCTATCATTTCCAGTGAATTAATCAAAATGACAGTTGCAATATTGCTCCTAAAATGTACCAATATATGTGAATAATTTTATGTTGTAACAAAACTTCAAATGTCCTCATAATTAAGATATACACTTTATTTCACTCCGCTACCAGTACTCCAGAAAGTCACTATTCTTATCACATAGTTTTAAGTGATTCGATCCACATGGAGGAACGTAATTCAATTCGAAGTCCCATCCATCTGTTTATAAATATTCTGAAATATTTGAAGCATAGTTTTATAGGCACTCATATGAATTAATTTTGATATTTGGATACTGCATGCAAATACTGACACTAGCAATATTTCCGTTTCAATAAAAAAATATTACTCCTCGAATATTTTGCACTATTAACAAGATCCTGTGCAGTAGGCCTTCAGCTTGTGTTTTTGATACTTAAAACATCCTAAAATGTGTGACAAATTTAAGAATATCTAAGAGCAAAGGGAACAGTATCCGCCACATTGTTCTTCAATGTAACAAGTTTTGCTATTTCGGTTGACCCTAGAACCAAAATGGCTGTCAGATTTACATTGTGTCACGTCTTTCTCGCCTGTCTCATTTCAGCTTTATGGCGTTCCGCCTCAATGCCCAGTAGTGACTAAAAACGTTAAGCAAAAACAATTTTGTAGTTACAAGAATTGTCTGTGTTTATAACACTTGCAAAGTCTTAAACTGCTATTTGTTGTCATCAATGTGCAAAAGTGTGGAAATTCGTGCGAATTCTCATCTGTGGGCAGACGTAGCTTTCGTGAACGATGGTGCAGACATTTAACTGATCGTGAGACCTATCGCGCTCCTTGATCCGCCTCAATTTTTTTGTCTTCACCGTAATGGTTTTGTTAAAAGTACACATCAAATCACAGCAATATGTAATAGATATAGCGTGTGTAAATGGCATAATTCGAAGCACATCGGTTCGGAGGCATCGTTTGACCTCGGAAATAAGTCTGACAAATCCACACAGCGCGCCCGGCCTGCTGATTGGCCAAAATTGAGGCATGCGCCAGTTTTGATTGACAGACTGGATCGGTCTATTAGCCATGTCAGTGAGTTTATAGAATTTACATGATGCACGACTTGAAGCAGGCCGCCATTACTGTCATGTGACAAGTAATAAAAGCTGAAATCTAGTGGTGAAATCAGAATAAGATCAATTGGAAAAAACACAAATTTAACACAAATGCTATCGTATAAAACAGAGGGAATTGTATCGTCAGGAGGAAGAGAGAGAGACAATCTGGCAAATTAAGGCGCCACTTATTTCCACACTTCTTTTGAGCTTCCTACTTACAATGTGAGAAAAATGATAATTCTATACTGGTATTTTGAATCTTGGCAGGAAAAGCACTGTGGAAAGAAAAGCAGTGATTCTCTGAGACGAATCTTAGACAATGATAAGGGGGACGAACTCCATGACTTGCAGGTGCATTCCTACCTTCCAAGAGTCTTTGTTAGTGTGTATTTTTCTGTCAGTTCTTTGGGTAAATCTGCATCTTCATTTGACTTCAGGTCCATGTATACATACGCTGGAAACAGAAACACCAGATTCATTACTCTGTAGCACACACACATCTTTTTAAATAAGGCCTCAGTAATTACTGTAAACATACTTTTTTCGCTTGGTGCAAATTTCGCGGAATTGACAGTTTAGACTACATCACGCGGTCAATTATTCGCGCAATCAGTAATTGCCGGAACTGCCAGCTGTCTCTTAGGCTGCCACTAATAGCAATGAAAACAACCAGAGTGGCTTAACCTATCAGGCGGCGTGTATTGCTACCTACCCCGTACCCTCAAGACACCGGGCGTAAGTAAAATGTGCGCCCGGACGTAACGTTAAACCGGTATGCACATAGTAGACGTAGTTAAAGTTACGCCAGTCATAGCGCTCTATATTTATGCCACCTACCCAGCAGGCGTAAGCCAGGCGTAGCCCTGTAATGGAGGCACTGGATGCTGAGTATTTTATCAGGCGCACATTTTCAAAAGGTTTGGAAAGTGAACGTTGTGCGAGAATTACGCTCGCGTGGTCCTGGATCTGCGTACGGCTATAAAATTACACAAAAATGTAGAATATTTATTTCCTATACGTTGGTATAAATATAAGTGCGACTACCTCGGCGGTTTGAGAAACAGACACTGCTAAATGTTGTCTAACATTTTATTACACTTTAAATAACTGTCAATTTCTCCGCTTTTTGTCGCTCACCGATAAAAGCACTCTGCTACGATTCTTTTAATTTGGCATCTTTACAGAAAGTGAGAGCGAAGAAAGTACAGCCTGATATCTGAACGACATAAGTGTATATGAATTGGGTTTATGTGCTAATGCATAACGTTACACGCTCAACATTAAAAATGACTCGCAATAAGTGTCAAAAATGGAATTTCTTCTATGACGTCAACCAACGACAGAGAGGTCATACACGTATAAAGATAAGGGGGCATCACTCCGCTATGCTCAACACTAGGTCAAATGTAACTCAGATCACTTGGCTGACTGAGTTTGGTTTTACGCCGCTTTTAGCAATATTCCAGCAACATCACGGCGGGGAACACCAGAAATGGGCTTCACACTTGTACCCATGTGGGGATTCGAACCCGGGTCTTCGGCGTGACGAGTCAACGCTTTAACCATTAGGCTACCCCACCGCCCCAAGATCACTTGGAGAAAAGTTGTGGATACGGACGCTATATTTTTTGTTATGTTGTGTTCACGGTAGTGTTGGGAATTGGTTAAAATCTCATAATTGATGATTGGTTCATTACTACCGATCAATCATCGAAAATAATTGTTTAGCGTCATTTATGAAATTTGTTAATGAACAGTAAAATAAGGGGACAAAAAAGGACTTCTGGGTATTTTTTGGCAAAATTTCACCTTTAAAGGATGACTAGTATGTTAGGAACATAAATTTCTTGGAATCTTTAAGATAAATTCAATCATGACTTGAAACGAGCTTGTAGTGCTTACGAAATGTAACAGACAAAACCAACCATGTGAAAAATATTGTTAATGAAAACAAGTGTTCCAGAATTGTTTGTGTTCGATTATTAGAAATTATGATCGATTGCTTGGTCGCTTAGTCACTAGGACCAATCTTCAATTATTTCAATTAATCGGACCACCACTAGTTCATGGTGAACCAACCTATTCCATTACAAAGTTCCCCAATGTGAGCGGATACGTTTTGGTAGTTTCACAATTTATAAGAAAAGATGGCAAGGTACTACTTGAGAAAGCAGAATAGCGATTTGGATGGCCCTATCCGATATGTAAGTTAGTTCTTAGATTCCCATATCCTCCTGTTTGTGTAGATGTAGTTTGACTAATTTTTGCATCATTATTAACGGAGAACTAGCCATATCTTCAAATGTATTGAAATTACTGATAATAATACAACATTTTAGTTGACGTCATGGCTTGTTTTATGCCTTTTGCAACGTCTGAAAAAGACATTAGTATATATCTTACCTAAATTCCATTAATTGTATGAAAGGTCTCAGCTTCTACGTCAGAATTTAACACTCTTTAGACAAAACATAAAATGAATGATTTTACCAATTAAATAGTGTCCTGAATATATCAACAATTAGACGGTTTGACTGTGTATCTTATTGTGAGCAACACGCGCACCTGTTTGACATCAATTTAACGTAAATGAAAAATAATATTTCACAACACCAAAATATTTTGCAGTTATGGCTACGTGTGATCTTTAATACTTGTGTAAAGGTTTAAAATATGGTGTACTACACTAAATGTGTCAATTTATTATGTAAATATTATTCAAACAATCAAAACTTTCAAAGAATAAAAAACGCCTACCCTATATCCACGTATAATATGGTATTGAACAAGGCTAAATGTATATACTGAAATTAGTTTGATGAAAAAATATCTGAAATAAATATACATCATAATACTGAAAGTTTAATCGGAAGGATAGGGGGATTGTGTTTACTCTTGTTCAACCGACCTTCACCTCAAAGAAATTGCCTAACATGTACAACAATGTTGACGTATGACATCACTACCACTGACCGATTTCTTATAATATAGAGGCCTCGCTGACAAGGGTACACAGGATTTTGCGAGGACCCTTCCCTTGATTCAGGGATCGTTTGTACATAAATATGAGATGTAAGTAATCAGAATGATTCTGACTATATGTGTATTGTTATATGTTTTATCGTTTTCATTGAAAGTAAGAGAAGAAGACAGAAATGCTTATAACTACCTTTGTCGTTCTGCGTGATTTTGCGTCAGTCATGGCGTCCCGCAGCGTTCGTTTGGACTTTTCCCACCCAATATCTTTCGTTTCATTTTATCAAGACAGTTGATATTGGTGACAAAGACCATTTGTAATTTGATTCTAAAATGTATGGGGAATTCAGTGATGCATTTGTCGCAGCTGAATATGATATATACGTGATGTAATTGGCGTCTCAATACCGGCCTTCGCGAAACGTGATTTTGTAAACACTATCCAATATGACAGAAAGCGCAGTTCGGCGTTCGTGTAAGAGTATTTTCAGAATTATCATTAGTGATTTCATGAAATCCTGATATCAGTGATCATTAATATGCTATTTTTTAAATTCAATACTTCTGAGTAGTAATTATTCGATTTGAACATTTCAAAACATACACCAAATAACGCTGTGAATCATGATTTCGTAATGTGTCAAAAATGGCGACATTTATGATGAAGCCTATCTTGAAAGTCCATGTTATTTATCCATCAGGATCCATCGGTAAAGTTGGGTTTTCTCGGTTTTCTTTGGCTTTCCATGATTACGGCTGAAACGGATGTACCGCGAAGTTGTTTCGCACCTTTTACCGGTGGTTTAAAATTGTTCGAAAATCTAAAAATGGCACACTGCACCTCGACATAAATCTGTTAAGTCGGGCGTAATAACGCCTAGGCTTAACCCACGTTGTGCATGACGTGTAAGAGGAGGGCGCTGCTAAGCCCGACGTTGTGTGTTACGCCTGATGTTAACTACGCCCAACATGTGCATACGGCCACTGGACTTCCAGAGCCAAATGATTGCAAAGATGACACTGAGGCCGAAGTCGTAATCGCGTAATTTCAAACAAGCCGGGTTGTTGAGAATGTGATGAATGATGTGTTATGACTATCAAGGAAATGAACTTCTACCGTATATGAAGCTTTTTGTGATTTCATTTCGTGATATGCAGGAATAAATATAAATAAAATCTTAATGAATAAATAAAATACCCTTATTTTACCCCATTCCATGTGCGTACAACTTACCACGTTCATGAGGGTCCGTACAACGTCAGTGTTGATTATATATATTTTACACTTATAGAGCAAAAACTGTAATTAAAATTACACAATGCTAGTATATATTTCGTTGGGTTAAATAATAGTATTCTGTATTATATTTTACTGATGACTGCGTCAGAATTCGTCCCGTTATATTTTTGTGCATGTTTGAATTGATCGCCGGGATATGTGTGCATAGCTGATTGCTATTTCCGGCTCAAATACACACGGCAATCTTAATACCTGCAATAATACAATGAATGAAAGGTTTATTCGCTGTGTATAAATTTTCGCAGTAAAATATTTTACGCAAAAAGCGCATAAAAAATACCTGCGCGATATATAATACGTTTACAGTATCCACAACAGTTGGGACAGGTGAGGTGAGGTGAAATGGAGTTTAACATCGCTCTTTAAAGATCACACATACTCTTACATAAATCACTAATTGGCATCGTTATACATGAAACCCTGTCATTAAAACTACTCGTATCGATCTTCATTTAACTTAAATCAACCTTTTTGACAACAATGCATAATTCTCACGGGCGAACGAAATTTCAACTAATCAGAGCAGCGCGTTTCTGTGACGTCATGTGAGGAATAGATATGAGGGCCAATGCAGAATTCATGTAGATTTCAGGGGGTAAAGTATCTTGTTTACAGGTTTGTGTAAATCTGAAATCGTGACAACTGTAGTGAAAAATGAAAGCCATATGTTCTCACAATCTACTGTCATTTAATTTTGTCTCCTGCTCTGCCTAGTTTTCATAGACGATTCTGTCAAAATCGCTTGGTGTCGCTAGGCCTATTTGATCGAGCTATACGCTAGTGATAGTGAAAAGGATGATCAGCCTCACTCATCACAGTTACGGTTAATTTCTTCAACCTAAACAGTGTGACATTAAGAAGGGTGGATGCCCATCAGATGCAGTTATTTGAAAATATAGTTCTTGTCTGATTGTAATCAAGTATCAAAGCAGTGTGGGCTTTTTTAAGTTTTCTAATGCCTGGATGGTATGACTGAACCAAATTGATCCCATTTCTGTGGTTTTTTACCTCGATATTTAATCATGTCATGTAAAACTATGACGTCTATTGATATTAAAAACGTATGATATTAAAAATTGACATTTCATTTATTTGAATCCGTAAACTAAACAACCCTACTTTGCCATTGCTAGAAGAATCTGAAAATTTACTTAGGTAAATAGGTACATACAGTTTTAGCACACAGCAAATGCTTATATGTATTTCTTATGCAACAATGAAGTTCTGTTCGTATTCTCAAAACAGTGTCTGCACATAAGTTTTCACATGCAATACAGCAATTAATACTCCCTTGTTGTAACCCGTGTTAGGTGGTATAAACCTACACATGTTATTTGTCATCATTCACTTCATGGTCAGTTAATGAATTTATAACTGGTATAATTAGTGGTAACACCACTTAGATTACCCGACAAAGGTTCCCATTTGGCATTTCTTGTGTCTGGAGTAAATACTCAACATTATAAACATCGGTCAAAGGATTAACCTATAACACGCTGATTGATTAATTACTTTTATCTTGCACAGCGGATTTGTCAAAAGGTAGTGTTTATGTATGTAGATTTACTAATCTATATGAATACACTCTGTCGTGTACCCATTAATGCTGAACGCTAGACAGGGACCAACAAGTACCATATTTTTAAATCTATTGGTATGACGCGACCGGGGATTGAACCCGAGGCCTTGCACTCTTCGCAGTTGGAGTCCATGTACGTTTTCGTTTTGGTTGCGAGTGAGTTTGAGCGAGTGAGTGAATGAGTGAGTGAGTGAGCATCATGGTTGGGACATCAAAATGGGCTTCACACATTGTACCCATGTAGGGAATTGAACCCAGGCTTTTGGCATGATGAGCAAAGGCTTAAAACACTAGAACACACAGATTAGTAGCTGCCATTCAAAGTGTCTCTGTATCGGACATACCTTTGTTCTTCTTTAATGCCAGAGATATTTCATCATTGTTGTTCAAAACCTGCTTGTTGCCTTTTCCTGGAAGTAAAGGGTGAGTGAGTTGACTGAGAGGAGTGATTTAAGCAAGAAGGGGATACCAGGGTTTCATATAGATAAGACTACAAATGGTGGGAATCACAGTATTGTGTGATGGTATGAGGAGCTAACCTACTTTCCCTAAACCATAGTCTGGTCAGTGATGTTAAAACAAAACACGTACTTCTCCCAAACTGAGAAACACTCTCAATATCATAGTTTTTTCTCTCTCCGGTCAATTATATTGATTATTTTTTGTGAAAATTCAAACCTTCATTAATCCTTCCAACATGAATTCCCTCTATTTAAATCGGTATCAGTAATTGACTTGACTGGGTTTAATGCTACTCTGAACAGTATTACACTAAGATCTTCACACGAAGATGCATTCCAATCTGATCTTAATGGAACTTGATGAATGTTCACATCAGTCTATTGGATAGCTCCTACAACAAGTCTGATGTTCCATCAGTCTATTGGATAGCTCCTACAACGAGTCTGATGTTCCATGTATGATTTTGTCCTGATATTCACCTCGGAATGTTCAAAAAATGCCCTCACCAACTTTCTCTCCATTGATGAAAGTGCCATTGCTGCTGTTGTCTTCAAGGAACACATGAACACCTGTGCTGGTGTTTTGCTGTAACAGAACATCAGTTTCATGGTGAATGAATGCATGTGTTGCATTCTGTTTCATAACATTATGCTAGAAGTGTTTGCAGGTACTTGCAAAACCAGAAACAGACCTGACACTGCCCTTTCCTCAAAGCTACTAAAGCCTTACAATACGACCAAACACTTCCAGACCTGTAAATAAACCAAGACACAGCCTCAGGTCTAAAAAAATATAAAATGTTGTGGTTCCGATTACCCGACCTACCCTTGAATTCTTGTGCTGACCCTATTTTTGTTAAGCGTATGAGTACAATAATCGTTCAGATACCATTGTTTTTTTTACCGCCGGTCAAAAGCCGCTTTTAGCAATATTCCAGCAATCTCACAGTGGGGACACCAGAAATGGGCTTCACACATTGTACCCATGTGGGGAATCCAAACCTGTCAGGGGTGAGGAATAAATACTCTAACCACTAGGCTACCCCACTGCAGTCTCGAGCTAGATAGGGTTTTCTAGCCTGCAGCCTTCCATGGCCTGTGAGGATGCCTTGACCAACGGAATTGTACAATATAACACATATTCATTCCAAACATTACCCTGATTAGCTTGAAATGAACTTTGCTGTAGGCTTGGAAACACTGGTTCTTCCGTGCTGATGAAGTCCCATTGAAAGACACATCACAGTTGTCTCCCCTGCCAAACGTATACTCATCTTTCACCAAGTCTGAAATGGAAGGACAGCTATTCAACACCATTATACTTCCTGAGAAACAGAAGGGTCTTAAGTCATTTATATCGATGTAATATTGTTGACTGTGTCGCTGGTGCTCTCTTTCTCACATAATAGTGGGTGAGTTTGGTTTTCCGCAGCTTTTAGCAATATTGCAACAATATCACGGTGGGGGACACCAGAAATGGGCTTCACACATTGTACCCATGTGCGGAATCAAACCTGGATCTTCGGCATAACCAGCAAACACTTTAACCACTAGGCCACCCCACCGCCTCTCTCACAAAATAATACCTATCAATATAACAAATGAAATATACTGCAGATCACTGGAATTGTGTTCATGCCTTATTCATGTGGATGCCCAGTTCATTTTTCAAATTAAATTATTGCCATTTTGTAAAAGAAGATCAGCACTGACTTTAAAACAAACCAAGCCAGATGTCCCGTACCAGTATTAAGCCTGTTATGCAGCAAGTCAAAGCCACAAGATGCAAATGTGCAATATTGATATGCCTTTGAAGTTTGGAAAGATATTTACAGAATCAAATTCATGGAAGGACAGATGACAGTAGAAAACCAGTGTAAGCTATTAACCTGCTGGTCACTATGGTTACATAGATTATAACCAATGACAGCCAGTGAACTGCATTAAGTGGAGAATGATATTCACCCAGGTCACTCTGACATGCCAACAAATACTCAGACTTTGAATTTGGGACAGATTGTGAAACGTTTATTATAATCGATTTTATGAAGAATAGAGAATGAACACTACAGACTGCATGTGAAATATATGGAACAATGTTCACATACTCAACATAATTTATTTACTTCAATTAATAAGTGTCACATAAGCATTTATTTACACAACACGCTTCATTGGGTTTGTCGCCACGCCACAACACCGTGCAGCACGCCATGCATGACATTCTGGGCCATGTCCCTCTCCCTCACGACCTCAAGCTCCGTATTAAGGTGGGGTGCGGCCATGTTTTAAGGGGTGACAACCTGCTCAAATCATAAAATAGTATCTCTATTTCGCAACATAACATCCATGGAGCTCGTATCACGAGAAGTAGGTCAGTTTTGGAACATGTTGTATCTTGACTTTGTTGTCAAACCGCACGGAAGAAACACGAGCATAAGATTCTAACCGACTGCAACGAAGCTTGCCCCCAGAGGAAACAATCGGCCCCACGTCTCCTCCATGTCATCTTCCTCGCTGTATTCGCCGTCGACCATGTCGCTTGGTAGCGTCTCCATGCTTGATGGTATGGTGCCCTGGCTTGTCCCACTGTCACAAGCACGTCCGGCCGATGTACCTGGGTATACACACGGTTCTATTGCCCCGGATAAACCGCTCATAGCGTGGGAGATTACACATAGTATTTCCCAAACAACGACTCCCATTCTTTCAGATTCTGAGGCATCTGTTGAACAATGTTTACCTCCTGATCTTATGTCTCTTGGTATTTGTTACCGTTTATGAAAATTGGAAACAATCGTAATTGATATTGACAATTGTTTCTTGAACCATGAGTTATTTTCAAATATTGAATATTGATTGGAACATTCATCAGTTTCATAACTATAGGGAATAGACACACGAAATAGTCTGTCATACAGACCCTGAAGAAAATATATCCAAGAAAGCCCACGCAGGTCTAGAACATGTTGCAAGTCTAGATTTCCACAGCTTGAAGAAAGTCTCAGGGCTCCTTTTCATTTTGCTCTATTTTTTTTTTACTATGAGCTTTTTTTTCTGTAAAATATGTTCATTTCAGAGACAAGCTGTTAGTCTACACACGAAAGTACGTATCCTGAGAAGTATTCGACCTGGAACTTTCGCAGGAGGCCCCGATCATACATTACCATGTAAACAAAATAATTCTAAACTAATAAATGATAAAGAAACTGAATAGTGATAACATATGATAACATGTTACAAATCAACAAATCTTACACTCATTTGAGGTCTGTGTCCGTACACAAAGGCGTTTGGAAAATAGCATTATTCGTGAACTCCGACATCTGCAAGCCTGACTGAGTAGTATCTTCTTGCTGCGATTTCTCATCGCTAGTCACAGATTACAAAGCTTTCAAGGACAGAGCTTAGTCGTTATTAACATGCAGCTCACAGGTTAAAAATGGAACGTTACGAATTGTTGAATTGGCAAGTCCTCAAGCTGTACCACTTGGCAAGACTTGCTATGTTGCTCATTGCCTATTTCACAACTGGAAGCACGCGCAGACACGGGATGCCTCATCACCAGGGGTTTAGAATCACAATATCAGCAGTGAAAGTTGTTTAGATTTTTGAAAGCCATCCGAGATCAGCTTCTTTTCGTTTGTTCAACGCCGCACTCAGCTGTATTCCAGATTCCAGCGATATGACGGCGCTCTGTAAACAATCGAGTCCCGACTGCATGACCTTCGGTCTACCCACTGTCAGACCTTTATGTTAGTATTAAGGAGCAATAGTGCTAACTTATGCATGTTGTTTAACGCCGCACCTCGCAATATACCAGTTACATAATGTCCAGTGAGTGACATCATGAGCATCATATACATGATCTACACAGATGGGAACCACGTCAGCAAGCCTGACCACCCGGTAACATTAGTCGCCTTTTGCCACAGACACGCTGCATTTAATTCTAACCTTGTTCTTCTCGAGCGCGAACTGATCAAATATAAGTTACGCCATATATGATGGGCGGTATTAGTGATAAAGACCGTCTGGGATATATGCAAATCACCTTAATCATAAATATACCACGCAAAAAACCACTATGTGCATACAAATATGTATAACTGCATACGTTGTCATAGTATGTTGTGACTGTCACAATTTGTTGTCTTCCCATTGTGTTCTGTGGAACATATATTACAGTGTTGTTACATAGTCGTACTATTATGTTTCAAATGATATAACTATTACACATTATCACGTGAAAAAGATGCGGTCGTTTACAGCGACTACAATGTGGTGCATGTGTTACAGTTGATGGATATCGGGTTTGTGTTTAAAGAATGATACAATATCCCACATTTAAAAATATTTAATAATTGTGACCATCGCTACGCTTGGACAGCCCCTAACCCGGGTACACCTGGCAACAGCTGTTAACAGAGAACCCAGTACTGATACTGCACGATCTTGCTGCTGTCTGCTCCCGCCCACGCCGTGGATGATGTTGCTGTAGCCAACACACTGTTGGACCCCTACTGCTACTTACAGGCTGACTGGCCACCTCGTCCCTGGCAGGTGGCCCTTGTGTCAATACTGAGTTTTTCTTTTCGATTTCGAATCCTTACTTAACGTTCACTTTTGATGATTGGTTGGTTGGTTTGCTGTTTAACGCCGCACTCAGCAACATTCCAGCTATAAGACGGCGGTCTGTAAATAATCGAGTCTGGAACAGACAATCCCGTTATCAACAACATGAGCATCGGTCTACGTAATTGGAAACCGATGACATGTGTCAACCAAGTCAGGATTTTCGTTTGGGTGTGTGTGTGTGTGGTGTGTGTGTGTGTGTGCACCCCAATCCTCGGAACCCTGTGCATAAAACATGTAGTACATTTGGAACACTCTTTGCGCACTCCCCACCCCCCTGGATCCGCGCATGCTACCCTATCCCGCTATTCCCCTCTAACGACAAGCATGGGTTACTGAAGATCAGTTCTAACCAGGATCTTCACGGGTTCACTTTTGATGAAATAAAGTGTAGTATATGGAGTTAACTGATTCAGTAAGAGTTTGGTTATTCTGTCTCACAGTCTCTGAACCACATTATTTCGCCCTCCACACAGCCCTGCAGTGCAGAAGTCTTAAATGAAGTAAGTCTAGAATTCCTAATCTCACTGGGGGACCTTTTCAGTCTAAGTGCACTTAGGCTCAGTATTATTCTCAGTATAGCAGTGTAACGAATAATTCTGAGCCTAAGTGCACTTAGACTGGGAACCTTATTAGTTTAAAGGGGGTTATTTGTTCCTATCAAAGTTATATTATCCAGAGAATAAGCGCCAATCTAGAGTTTGGTAAATGTATTTTTAATGAAGCTTTTGTTTGTTGTTTAAACGCGGCAGCACTATATTCCAGTTATATGACGGCGGTCTGTAAACAAGCGAATGTTGACCAGTCAATCTAGCGACTGATATGATCACCGATCTCCCAGTTTGAATGCGATGACACGCATCAACTAATATAAGTCAGCGAGCCTAACCTCCCGTTTGTCGCCTCTTTCGAGAATCACGTGTTGGTTATGAACAATTCTAACCAGGATCTTCACGAGTTTTTCGAAGTAGCTAATCGGAGACGTAGAAGTGAGCTGTGTAAATCCTGAAGCGCACATCGATAGATTTTCTTACGGTCCGTAGACCCCTATAGCGCCAGTAAAACGGAACATACTATATATCCTCAGCCGCGTCAAGCATTAATGTTAGTTATATTAAATGGTGTTAATAAAGCCTTAGTTTTTATTAGTGGAGGAAAACATAGACTACCGTTCGTACTCCAGAGCATATAAAACAATCATTCCCGCCCTCCCCTTCCATTCTCAGCTCTATCAGCCAGACACACACACTCATGATGCTCAATGCTCGTTGGTTACCACTTAGAATGCTCTATTTTCCACCTTGTACGTAATATATTTTCAGAGTGGATGTATTTCTTTCTGAGATAGTGGCGAAGAACTTCCCAGGTCAACCCCATTCACGTTTAACTTCCTTTCAATATGGAATCGTCCATTGTGCTAGCTAGCTTACCTGCTAATTAAAGCGAATGGGCTAGCCTAGCAGGATCAGAGAAGTAGGTCACTTATACTCGTGGTGGCTAGTTGTTGTGGCTAGAAGATAGTAAGTTGAGTAAACGTTGTATCCGAGAGACCCATATTTCAGCAACAGCCCATCACATGGGTTCACCCGGTTCTATACACGTCCCTGTGTGTTCGCCATCATGACAGCCGCTAACCAGACGTGCTAAATTTAGCAGCCACATTGCGCGACTGCGACTAACGAATCAATGCTTGGTCAGCTAACGCGGCAGTCAGAAATCACCAACATGCTTCCTCGGACATACCCACCGGAGGCGGTGCGGACATATTTGAAGAGGATTCGTCTGGCCCAACAAACCGGTTTAAGCAACTTTGATGAAACTTTTGATACTGCTATTGCAAGGCTAATAAAATCTCATGCAGATGCGATCGGCTGTACAAGGGAGACAATCCTGTTTCCCCTGCTAGTAGCAGTTTCGGCTTGCATGGGTTCTGAGACGGATGTTAATATCGACACTGATTGGTCGGAAAAGCCGATTCTCTGGATTCTTGTGGCGGGGAGAAGAGGTGATAAGAAAACACCAGCACTGAAAAGGATAAAGTCTGCAATTTGTGGTTTGGAAAAAGAAATTCAAGCTTTATACAGGACCCAGAACTCCGAGATAAGTGACAGACATTACCCGAGGTTTGTGATAGACGAACATAATCTTCCACAGGCAGAGGAAAGTATAAAGATGACTCCAGGGGCCCACACTTTGGTAGGGATGTTCGATAACTTTGGAACCTTTCTAAGACAGCGATATCTGGAATCTAAATTCCTTGACCCTCAGCTTCTGTTGTCGATGTACGATTCATCTGTCAGCCTGTCTTCTGGAGCACACCTTGAAGATGCGCCGTCAAGTGTCTACTGTAGCTTTCTGGCCATGATAGAAGCTATAGATGCAGCGGCTCTAATGGAGATGTTTGATGCTGATGGCTTGTCTGATCGAGTTCTTGTCGTCTGCCCGAGGGACCATGGATGTCATTCAGAGCAGATGACGTCATCCTCTGTGGAAGCCCTGCCTCCAATTCAGCGCATTCTGTCCAGCATCAGGAACTACCACCAGGTGCAGACGGTGTCTTACGTCTTCACCGAGGATGGCCGGGCCACGTTTCAAAGGTTAGTCTGAGACAATATCAGATGATGACCATGTGATATATTAGGGCGGTTATCTTTACAAATTCAACAATGCTGGGGAAATTATTTTGTCGTCGGGTTCTACTTGAGATCGGTCACAAGATATATGTTCCTTGTACTTGAAAGTCTGCCCTACATGTTTATCTGCATGTGGGGCGACTACTCGTTAACTACAAGTAAGATTTCGGATAGAGTCATTGATACGTTCTGAGCCTCATATAGAAATATATGACAAAATCCCTTAAAATAAGGTATTATTCAACATCCTCCTCTTCCACGTAGATATTATCGCAGTTTACTAGAGGTCATTCTCTTCACTGTAGACAAGGTTGTCGATACGAACTTTCGAGGTCCTTCACCGTTTGGCGCTAGTTTTTAGCGATTTATTCATCTGAGTATGTTCGTATAAGGTGTAAATTACGTTGTTGCTATTTGAATACAAACAACAGTTTTAGAATTTGTCATCCCACATTAGATTTTAATAAAATAGTTACAATGAAATTTCAAGACAGGGACGCGTTCCTGTCAGCGGGGCTTACAGTGGGTGATTGAAGGATATTGGCCGCTCACAACGTGGCAGACTCTGGTTACCCAGACGTTTGTATAATAGTTTACAGGTAGTGTACCTAGACATTTTCATGTCATGTTCATCTTTAAGAATTTATTTTTCTTTAATTTACTGGATGAAATAGGTTCTTTTGATCGGTGCAATCGACGAATGACGTCTTAAAAGGACATATTTGTCAAATCATACAGTTTGCTCCTACGGGAATGTGTTCAAGCGGCCCTTTAAACAGTTTCACGTTCATCTGTAGACAGTTTTTAGGGAAGACAGTGTTCCCCTTAGGTTGCCTTTAATGGTCTTATAGTGTAACAATTCAGTGATGTCAAAGGATTGTCCCATTTAGATTCCTGTTTGAAAAATGTTTCTATACATTTCGGATGTTGTCTTGAGCATATATGAATAAACTTACACTCTCTAACATGCACTGATGTGTGTATAAGGCGTGCACGCCGGCAGCGTCTTTGACACACTATCTGTCAGTGTTGACAGACATCCAGTCATCTGTTGTTGGGACGACTAGGGTAGGAAGGGCCATCCTCCCACACTGTTGTACACATATGCTCATGGATGGTTTCTGGTGTTGGGACGACTAGGGTAGGAAGGGCCATCCTCCCACACTGTTGTACACATATGCTCATGGATGGTTTCTGTTGTTGGGACGACTAGGGTAGGAAGGGCCATCCTTCCACACTGTTGTACACATATGCTCATGGATGGTTTCTGTTGTTAGGACGACTAGGGTAGGAAGGGCCATCCTCCCACACTGTTGTACACATATGCTCATGGATGGTTTCTGTTGTTGGGACGACTAGGGTAGGAAGGGCCATCCTTCCACACTGTTGTACACATATGCTCATGGATGGTTTCTGTTGTTGGGACGACTAGGGTAGGAAGGGCCATCCTCCCACACTGTTGTACACATATGCTCATGGATGGTTTCTGTTGTTGGGACGACTAGGGTAGGAAGGGCCATCCTTCCACACTGTTGTACACATATGCTCATGGATGGTTTCTGGTGTTGGGACGACTAGGGTAGGAAGGGCCATCCTCCCACACTGTTGTACACATATGCTCATGGATGGTTTCTGTTGTTGGGACGACTAGGGTAGGAAGGGCCATCCTTCCACACTGTTGTACACATATGCTCATGGATGGTTTCTGTTGTTGGGACGACTAGGGTAGGAAGGGCCATCCTCTCCACACTGTTGTACACATATGCTCATGGATGGTTTCTGTTGTTGGGACGACTAGGGTAGGAAGGGCCATCCTCCCACACTGTTGTACACATATGCTCATGGATGGTTTCTGTTGTTGGGACGACTAGGGTAGGAAGGGCCATCCTCCCACACTGTTGTGTTGGGACATATGCTCATGGATGGTTTCTGTGTGTTGGGACGACTAGGGTAGGAAGGGCCATCCTCCCTCACTGTTGTACACATATGCTCATGGATGGTTTCTGTGTTGGGACGACTAGACCATCCTTCCACACTGTTGTACACATATGCTCATGGATGGTTTCTGTTGTTGGGACGACTAGGGTAGGAAGGGCCATCCTTCCACACTGTTGTTGTACATATGCTCATGGATGGTTTCTGTTGTTGGGACGACTAGGGTAGGAAGGGCCATCCTCCCACACTGTTGTACACATATGCTCATGGATGGTTTCTGGTGTTGGGACGACTAGGGTAGGAAGGGCCATCCTCCCACACTGTTGTACACATATGCTCATGGATGGTTTCTGTTGTTGGGACGACTAGAGTAGGAAGGGCCATCCTTCCACACTGTTGTACACATATGCTCATGGATGGTTTCTGGTGTTGGGACGACTAGGGTAGGAAGGGCCATCCTCCCACACTGTTGTACACATATGCTCATGGATGGTTTCTGTTGTTGGGACGACTAGGGTAGGAAGGGCCATCCTTCCACACTGTTGTACACATATGCTCATGGATGGTTTCTGGTGTTTCTCAAAGTACATCGTCACTGCACCTTCCTCACGCTTGTACATTTTCCAAAGGTCACTGGGGCGATTGGGTAGCCAAGTGGTCAAAGCGTCCCCTCTTCAAAGACCCGGGTTTGGTTCTCTTCATGGGTGCAATGTGTGAACCCCATTTCTGGTGTCCCCACCGTGATATTGCTGTAATATTGCTAAACACTATACTCACTCACTCACCAAAGGTCACAAATCGGTGCTTATTTTCATAACATAACGAGTAACACAACAGTCTCGGTGGTCTGTCACACGGACCCGGAAACAAACATATCCAAGAAAGCCCATCCAAGTCTAGATTATGTGGAAAGTCTAGATTTCCACTGTTTCAGGCTGAAAATGAAGAAAGTCTCAGGGCTCCTTTTCATTATTCAGAGCTCCAGATAAGATTTAGCTCATGTGGGTACTTTACCCACTGTATTTTTTTGGAGTGGGTATTATGAATGTTGAGTGGGTATTTCATTTTCCGTTACCCACTGCTTTCAAATATGTGCGTATTTCAGTCATTTTACTCACCTAAGTATTGCGTCATTGAGTAAGTTTACTAAGCAGGTATGTTCTGCCTTAACAACTTAAACATAATGGAAATGATTTCATAAAAAATCACTCATCCTAGGCTGACAGTACAACACTTGTCCTATACTAACAATACAACTTGATAGCAATCGATGTCTTTTTCATTACGCAAGCGATTTTTAAAAATATATTCCGTATGCATTTGTTTTAAACTTTTTGCGTATCTAACATTTTAATTGCGTAATTAGTACGCAACAATTATTTTTCAATGCGTAATTGGAAATTTTCTATGCGTATTTTACCCGGATACGCAGCTTATCTGGGCTTCTGCATTATATTTTATATTTTTGTATTTTAAACAGTTTTATATGTAAAATATGTTCATTTCAGAGACTATAGTAGTCTACAGTCTCGGTTTTTATGGCTATATCTCTATGGCATGAAGTAATGTCACAAATACAGAATTTCACAGTTGTACAATGTCCATGTAAGGCTCCGAACTTGTCAGAAACCATAAGTCTATAATCGACATCTATTGTGTCCATGTCCAACAATGTCAATGTGCAATAAGAACGGAAATATTAATGTTGAAGATGTAGAGCAGAGCTGGAGTTGTGGCAGAGTGGCTTCCTCTACGACGAGAGAAGACGAGGGGTGCTAGCTAAAGCTGCTGGTCAACTGGCCCGAATCTGTGCCGTGCTCACGGCACTCAAGAACGGACTGGACCTATCTGCACGTGGGTATGGCGCCCAGGTACTGCCATCCACGGTCATAACATCAGACACCGTTGACTCCGCGAGGCAGGTGAGAATATTGTGTCCAGCATACACCATTAGCTGTCGGGACGGTGGGGTAGCCCAGACCCGGGTTCGATTCCCCGAATGGGCAGAATGTGTGAAGCCCATTTCTGGTTTCCCTCCCTTGTTGGAATATTGCCAAAAACGGCGTAAAACTAAACTCACCCACTCAGTCAATCAATCAATCAGCTGTCCCGCACTGGGGAGTGGGTTTGTGTTTTTATTGAAGTATTTATTCCCCAAGGGTGACGACGTTTACAGCGTTGTTATAAGCACGAATATATGCTTTGTGGTGGTATACGTGGGACTGAGATATAGAAGCCTATAATCAGAGCGTATTTAATCGAACCCGCAAGCCTTAAGAACTAGAGGCCGCAACTCCGCACAGTAACACAATGTCCCCGTGTAACCGTAGCACCTTCTCCTTTTGAACAAAAATGATAAACAAAGGTACATACATGCAGCTTCGTGCACCATATTATTATATTATATATTTTTATATATTTGTATAGCGCCAGCTCAGCTGCTCAAAGGCGCTTTGTTTTTCCCTCGATCATTGGATGTCAGTCTCAAACGGCATATCGTATTATCAATCTAAACTCCCTGGGGATCATACTCTTGCAGCCACTAGGCGCACCGAGTTAATGTGGCTTTCCCATCCATTGTTAGTTTGAAGACACTGTGCATACCGTGATATTGTTTTCTGCCATTCCTTTATCTTACCTTCATATAAAATACTTTAATTTCATTGGTCAATGACGCTTTAACAAGTTTATATTAAACTCCTCCCAGGAGGGTGACAACTGGAAAAAATATGAAATTAAAGAATTTTATATGAAGGTAAGATAATATCTCGTGTTACTCCCCAAATGGGTACAATGTGTGAAGCCCATTTCTGGTGTCCCCCGCCGTGATATTGCTGGAATATTGCTAAACAGCGGCGTAAAACTAAACTCACTCTCGTGTTATTTTTCCGAAGCTATTAAAAGGTGTAACTGTGCTGTCTCAACTAGTTTCCTTATCACGTGTTTATAGGCCAACAGACGTTCTGGGAAAGGTGGAACTCTCAGCTTACCAATTAAGAGTCCGACAGTCTGAAACTGCGACTTGCCTAATTACGTTTCAGATAATCGCCTGAAGTTTGCCGGATTGATGTCCGATTTCGGTAATTCTGATTGGGTGCAGCGAATGTTGTTATGCGATGAAGCACTGTTATAGCTATAGTTTTGATGGTTTGTATATAATAAGTCTGTGATTGGCAGTGCAGTGCAAAATTAGCCTCAGCGTGTTACGGTGACACAGACCACCACGTGACATGTTTCTCATAACAACCCCGTCCCACCCTTTGGATATGACTGTTTGGGACCGTTCTTAATCTATGGCTGGGGGAGTGGGGTTTTTTTAATGAATTTAGTGTGTGTGTGTGTGTGTGTGTGTGTGTGTGTGTGAGGGGGAGTTCATTTTGTTAGGGGGCACAAATTATGTTCACGTGTACTAGGGGGTCATCAAATTTGTATGCTTAATAATTATGGGAAGGGAGGGGGTTCAATGATTTTGTACATGACATACGGGGTGTGGGTGGGTGGGCCTTACTTTGTTCATTAATTTAGGGGAGGGGTCATTCACATTGTGCATGCTTTTCCTTAAAAATCATCATCATCATCCCCCGACGCCAAACAAACACACACACACGCACACACGCACACACGCACACCAGCCATAAATTATGAACGGTTCCTTAGTCCACCATCTATAATTGCTTCCATAATGGTTGTTACCAAATTTTGTTACCTCCGATATGTTTCGTCAACTGAACTCAAAGAATCCTTTTTGTTGTGTTGGTGAATTTTATTCGAATAGATCTCTTAAACTCTCATTAGTCGAGTTTCATAAGGTTGGCTATCTCCGGTGAGTTGTACGATCTTATCACAGACATAGGGTTTATTTTTGAATTGTTCTGCTCCAAAATACATGTAGGACCAAGTTCTACATGACAGCCTGTGAATGTTGTTCAGAGCCTTGATAAGCAGTACTGCAGCTACGTCCAACAAATATAATGTACCCTGCAGAGAGCAGGCGAACGAGTAACTGATATCATCATCAACAATCCACATCCTCGGTGTGGCGACACCAACCAGTCAATCCCAAAACCTCGGATCTCGATCCCGGCTTGTGCGACAAGCTTGATGTACTGGGAACCTATTCAGTTTGGCAATACAAAACAGCAGGGACTTATGGGTATGTTTCCTTTCAGATCCTGATGTATCTGATCAACCAGAAGATGTCGTTCCTACCCAACGAGGAAAGCCTGGGCGAGGACAACACGTGGGAGGACATGCAGGATAGGAACGACGTCAGCCACGACACTTCCTTCATCGACGGCCCGCCTCAAGTAGGCCACAAGCACGTGCAAGAGACGATCTTCATGCCCCAGGTGGGGAGAGTGGGGCGATGGACGGAGGAGGGACTGTCGATCACACCAGGAAGGGGTCAGTCAGGAAAAAAGTCGAATATGGATTTTCAGACATCAACTTACTCCAAAGCGCAAGAAACATCTTCCGGTGGCTCTGTGTACATGTCAAGTGGCGATTCCAGATCGCCGTGGATGGTACATTCCTCAACAGAAAACGAGCAACATGCTGTTGATATTGTCCGATGCAAGCGACCGCGACACGATGATGGAGACAGAGGTAAGGTACTTGGAGCAGTTAGGGAGCAGCACAAGGTTCACAAGGAGGTGGCCGTTATTACCGTTGACGACGAGGGCAGCGGTGACGGTGACAACCTGGAGGAGGGTACAGACAGTGCTGTCATACATATCAATGCGTCAGTCACTAACATGCCCCAGGGCAACGAACCCTGGAGTATACAGATTCCTATCGAGGAGGACGCAGACCTTCACAATCAAGGGTTAGACCAAAAGAGCCCTAAATCTGGACTAACGCCTAGCTGTTTCCGATCGTTTAGGACGTCAGTGAATATGTTTCAGCTGACAGATGAACAGTTGTTAGTCCTCTGTGCTCACAAGATCAAGAAGCTTCTTTTACTCCCAGGTATGATAGCTTCTGCTGCGAGTATATGTCAGAAAAGACTCTTCCCACCCGTCCCGAGGGAGCTGAGGATCGAACACCCTCGCACCACACACCCAGTATGGGGAGCTCTGGCGTTTCTCAAGCGACTGGTGGGGCTGGGTCTTGGGGAGTTAGTTCATGCGCTGTACCGGATGCAGTCCATCCACTTCCGGAAGATACGACTTGAACACATGACCCGGGAGGCCAGGGACTTGTTGAAGACGGTGGGGGTGGATGAGGAGGAGTATGAGAGGTCGTACCCGAAGTTTGACGACAGTCATCTCACGTCATTTGTGCTTATTAGTGACACAGACAGAGCCATTAGACAGAGGTTAAGGGCAGACGGGCAGACTATAAACCACTCAGCGCTTGTTGGTTGCCATGGTAACTCACAGTCACATGATTCATAAACGATTTACGTATGAGTGAGTGAGTGAGCGAGTAAGGAATGAGTGTTTGAGTGTAACCCCGCTTTAAGCAATATTTTAGCAGTATCCCAGCAGGGGACACCAGAGCAGGACTAAACTACAGACGACCCCACCTATAAGGAATGTGGGTCATCTTGTTGTTGGTATGTGTGTGGCTAGTTTGCTACTTTGGTCTGGGCGGGCCTATACGGAATGTGTGGCGAAAGGTGGGTGGATGTGGGTATATGTTGGGAGCCTGGTAGACGATGTAGATCTCTAACTGAAAGCAAATCTGCATTGTCGATCACATAAAAACATTGATACTTATTGAAATCATTGCTTTAAGATTTACATTCATTGATGGTGTTAGTAGAGCTCTGTATGGAACATTTGCTTGAATAAAACAGATTGAAATACTTGTACTTGATGTGTCAGCCATGGGTAGCAACTGGTGGGTGTGTTTCTCAACAGCTGTGTTCAGACATTGATTTTCAAATATACACAAAGAACTTATTTAAACACCACCTGTACTTTTGCAATGATAGGTTTTCAACAGGTACATGGTGACCATGATGGAAAAACCTGAGTTTTTCTGACCCGTATGATCCTTGACCCATAAATAACGACCAAATGATTGGAATCCATGTTGAATTTATGATGACAATTGCTCATTTTTTTTTTTTAAAAACATGTCTGTACAAGTATGGCCTTGGAATGTTTAATGTTGAATTTTTTTGTGAATGTGAACATTCAAAATGTCATTTTATATGTTTTACACGAGTCAAGGTCAATACCGAGTGTAAACTCCATGTGACTGTATGACAGACAGCACTCTCCTCCTCATACCCCCTGTCAGACTCCTGATCCTGATAAGGGGCAGTCTATGCCATTCCTCATGTACAGCAGCTTCCAATTGGCCCAGGTTCTGTACAGGAGGATCCCTTTGTTGCACACGACAACCAAACATGTTCCAGATATGATCCAAAGGGTTAAGATTGGGCTCATTCTATCGTGAGATATGTCAGGGGGTGCTTAACTAAGTCCTGGGGAAATCTAGACTTGCTTCATTTGGGGCTTTAGCAAATTTGCAGAAAGTCCTGGAAGCAGGTGTTGTGTGGGATGAGCAGACACATACAACCAGACAGGTCAACCATGGGGAAACAACAACAGATATTCATGTTTTTAAGATGTTTTATTAAGAATCTTGATACATCTTTCTATTAACCAGATCATAGATATTTCACTTAAACTAGTCAGAACTTGAACATCCATAGTTTTGTGAATAACTGGTAGAAAAATAGTATGAGACAATATACTATGTAAACAGGTACCATGAAAATGGTATATTGCCATGTATAACATTCTCTACAGTGATTGGTTAGGCTGTACCAAGATAGCCACCAGTTACCATCACTATAATTGAGGCCAAGACCAGTGTCTCTCCTTACTGTCTGCTATTCTTACAGCTGTAGCTTCTGTCACACTTATACAAGGAAATATACACACAGCCTCATAATCAACAGGAATGTTTGTGGCAGAAAAATATTGATTGCCGATGTGACTAAAAATCTTACCAGGAATGTCCATAATAAACACCGTCAGTTGCTGGGGCAGCACATTTCTCTTGGTATATCGCATCAACTCTGGCATTTAGTCATTTTTTATGTTTTGGATATTGGCTGCCAAAATACATAACAAGACTCTTAGCCTGACTTTACAATGAAACCTTACCTTACTCTATGTAATACTTGGGAAAGACTTGACAAGATCTCCACGTATTACCTATCTGAACCTAAATATGATTTATATCTTGTTGTCGTGTCCTTTCTGCAGGTCCACATTCAGTATAACAATTTCGTGATAGTTTCTTGGCATGGTCAACGTGCCCTGGTCAAAACAGGATCAAATTTAAAATTATGATGCACAGTAAATACCATTAGCATCCTAGTTAGGCCATGATAACCCTGTGACATTTGCAAAAATGTTAATATCATAAACAGCAACAGAAGAATTAGCCAGAGATACATCCAGATTCCAAGCTGGAGATTCTCTGATTGCGGTCAGAATCAGAGTTGTCTCCCCTTGTTCTGGAGTTCTTCCCATTATTGGGAGATACTTTCACAAGCTGAACCCGACCACACCCAACAGAGCCCTGCCTGCTCAACACAGCAGTCCTTCAGTAGTTCCAACCTGAGACCATTATTACAGGGTCTCTGTTTTCACATACTTTGTTGGCACGACATGAGGAACCAGGACAGGAGACAGGGTATTTGTCACGATGTAATACACATGGTTGCTCAGAAGCGACTAATATAGGAGTGAACACTCTAGGGTGTGTAAACAGACGCAAGCCTTTCCTTGTCCTGGGGCATCTTAACCATTAATATGTACATGTATGGAGTAGAATTTCTGAAGCCCACCACTTCCAGCTGATGTATCATATATTGAGGTCCAGTGTCTTCCAGCTGTGTTTGACCTGGAGTACGATTTGCTATTCTTCTCACATATGATAACCTGACAACAACTGCACACCTTCAATACCAATGAGGAGGACTCAATATGGGGCATCAATTCAGGGCCAAAACAGGACTGTAATAATGATTTAGATTATATTCAGCTTAACCACCAGCAAGCATTCATTACATTTTTGTTTTCATGAGACCTTGTATCATTATAGATACCTCTTGCTCAACAGTATAATGTAGATCATCACTGTGAAGTTGTTCTTCATGGCAGGTAGACACATACAACCATTAGAAACATAACATTCTGTGACGCTGGAAACATATAAGTGATGGTTGAAATATTTTCATCAAAAGCAGCATAAAGCGATATGTTTGTGGAAATAAATATTGTGAATAGTTATACAAGATGCTGGTTATAAAAAGTAGATACAGTAATAAAATGGTGCTTGTTCCGTCAAGCAGCTAGATGGAGAATATTACAAAATATCATGTTAGTTTTTCTCCAACCCTTATGCTACAATAATTATTATTTGAACATATAAAAATAAAAGCATCGATGGACATCACTTGCATGCATATCAACAAAATATGTATCACAGATAATAACTTCTCACATATCTCTCAAGACACAACCTGCAAGACAGACATATTGATAGTAAAACAAGAGGAACACTATTGCATTGTGGGTACAATTGCAACATCAACAGACATATTGCAACAACAAAAAACTACATACAGACTAGGCTCTATATTACATGAAACCTCCATGTGTTTTTGAATAGTTAGATTTACTAAAGGGAGATAACTCTAATGAATTATTTCCTTACTGAAGGGATGCAGCACACTTGTTGATTTCAAAGGCAAACATTGCGAAGTAAGGTTTTAACTTTACTTTTACACTGGATACAGCGGAACTTGAGTAATACATACTACAGGTATGACATATTGCTGATGAACCTTAAAACAATGTTGCCTCCCGAGCTACAAATCCTGTGTGAGTGATAGCAGATGTGGATGCACAGTATGGAGAAAGTGGACGGAACGATGAAGCCTGCAGCGGCACAGAAGCAATAGCTTAAAGGATAATGTCTGCAGGTGACAGTTGAGTGACCAGACATTGTTCCCTCAAAACCACAGGATTGACGGTTGAAATATGATACAAAATTGCCAAATAATTATTTTAGTTAGTTTATTGGGACTGCTTGGGTAAGAATATGAACAAAAGAAAGTGGTTGTTTGAAAGCATCTTGTAAAGATGGAGTAACTTCTCTCCATTGTTACATATATTTCACATGAACAAAAACGAAACATGGTTCTAGATAAATATACACAAGCACTGATGCCGGACTGATACTGTGTAAGTTTCAGTAAAAAAATAAAAAAAGAACAACTCTTAAAATGTTTTCAAAGAATTTGGACAGATTAGAAAAAATGATGTAACTACAAAATGGAAACAAAATCCATTGTTAATAATTTTAATCAGTAATTGATACCAGCAAAGTTTAGGCTTTGACAAAATGGAGAATTAATGCATTTCAAACAAAAAGTGTGAGATGATTTCAGTGACAAGTCATTGGAGTAAATATATAATCCAGGCAGGTTGGTGAATGAATTGTTTTGGATGAAATGCCTGGGAAATATCAAAGTTGCTGTCTCGTGATGACCTATGAGGTCAAAGGTCTCATGGATGTCACACTCAGTCGTTGGGTCTCCTTGAAGTCTGTGTGTCCTATCACCATCTCACTGAAACACAGGAAAGGTACAAACTATCATTGATCAACAAACTGCCTGTCTGGCTGGTCGTCTTCCTGTCAGAGTAAAGTAGGTTGATCCTCAGTGCACACGTCCCGTTACTGATGTCTGATGGGATTCACCTGTTAATCTTCACACACTCACATGTCATCAGTATATATTTGTATCTTGTTTACTAGTGACGATTAAGTAATCGTAATGGAAAGTGAGTGAGTATGGTTTTACGCCGCTTTTAGCAATATTCCAGCAATATCACGGCGGGGGACACCAGAAATTGGCTTCACACCTTGCATAATGGAAAGAGCCGGTGAGAAATCTTCAGGCTTAAAGTAATGCAAGTTACAAGTAACCAATGTAGTGAAAACTTCAGGCTTAAAGTAATGCAAGTTACAAGTAACCAATGTAGTGAAAACTTCAGGCTTAAAGTAATGCAAGTTACAAGTAACCAATGTAGTGAAAACTTCAGGCTTAAAGTAATGCAAGTTACGAGCATCCAATGTAGTGAAAACTTGAGGCATAGAGTAATGCAAGTTACAAGTAACCAATGTAGTGAAAACTTCAGGCATAATGCAAGTTACATGTCTCATGGTGTACAGTACACCTTGTGTGTGTCTGAATGGACAGTCACAGTGACTGGTGCATGTTGTGGGTACTGTATGAACCTTGCTTGTTCCTGAGTGTAAAGGTATTTACCCCCAAATGGGAGCACTTAGTACCAAGCACTATCACTTACCAGATCAAATCATCTTAACAGAGGTTGTTTAAAAATTACATTGAATATCAAAATGTACAAAGCTGATAATTGATTGGTTCAAGATCCGATGCAACATCTACTTTGATTGGTTAGTCAAAGTTACCCAGGGTTCACCTGACATGACTCTGATTGGAAGGTATGCCAGATTTTGACAATTATGTCAGAATAACTGACTGACTGACTGACTGAGTTTAGTTTTACGCCGCTTTTAGCAATATTCCAGCAATATTGCGGCGGGGGACACCAGAAATGGGCTTAACACATTGTGCCCATGTGGGGAATCGAACCCAGGTCTTCGGCGTGACGAGCCAACGCTTTAACCACTAGGCTACCCCACCGCCCCATCAGAATAACAGGTGTGTTTGTTATGAGATTGTACAATAATAAACATATGACAGAGACTACACCAACTAGCTCAACATGAAAGATCTTGTGTAAGTGAAGACATAACTGTTTTCAGAGAGCATTTGTTGTACACTGTAAACAAGGACGAGTTTTCCCATTGAAGCAGCAGTAAAATCTTTTTCAATTCCCACCTTACCCCAACAGGAGTGAGACTGTTTCTCAGACCACTTTAATCAGCAATTGTAGTTTGAGTTCAACCAACAATAGAATCAAACATTGTACTTTTCGGGTGCATAGACTTTGATTATGACTAAACACATTAATCCACCTACTCTCAAAAGTGAAGTGGTTATAATGATTCAAAATTTCATTTAAAGAATTTATTGATGAAAGGTGTATTGACAAATTTTTACCTTTCACCTTGATTGGCCTTTGTTTTTATAGCACAAATACTGATTATTGACTGTATGATTCATATGTATAGAATAGAGATTACTAAACGATTGTCTGTCAGATACCATTTAAGTTACAACTCGCTTTCGCTTGTTAAATACGTTTTGAAACAACTCGTAAGATAAATGGTATCTGACAGACACGAGTACAGTAACCTGTTTCTTACACACCATAAAATCGCACCATTTTATGGTCGAATAGATTCAAATTTCATATTTTCCCATCGTAATACACAACACAACGTTTTATGAATGAGTGACATCACTTGGCTTCCTAATCACTACTCATCCCCATGGTGACCCTCCACAAAAACCTTCTGCCATATCTTAGCATCATCAAGGCAATAGTGATAATGAAAACTATATAAGATCACAGAAAATTAATTAAACCCTCTAAAACGATGATGTTACCATGCAAATGTGCATGATTTTAATTCATGCAAGTGTAAAATATTTGAGCGTGTGACGTCATCGTTATCGCTTGGTGGTTGTCGTCATCAGAAGATTGTTTTGGATATCTCTGAACATTGGGGATCTGTATTTGTGTACCAGTTTACGTTCAATGTTCTCCCATCGACCGGAGCCAAAACTATTGAGTGTGTGTAATTAGGTGCACCCAGTGTGCTTGAATGTGACATTGCTGAGGTTACGTTCACTGTCAATGGGGGACTACTGTTCTTTGCCACATCCTCCTCGTTTTCCCGAGCCAGAAACTGCCACTTGGAATGTAATGGAATTTATGGAGTTTTCAGTATGAAATGTGAGTTGATTACATCCTGTATGTTATCAAGACACAAACTTTGCATTATCATGCGTCGGAGGAATATCTGGAGCAATGACTTATGTGTAGATCAACCGTTCCTGTACATGTTCGATTGAATAGAAAGGACGTGTGCAGCCATTTGCACTCATGAAGCCTTGCAAAACGTTCCATGTTGTACATTGTTTCAACGAGTGTGTTTTGATTCTGATTGTCATGAGTGAATTTGATAACATTGGAATCACATAGTATCTCGGAGCTGGAAGTGGGTCTTCATCATGTTTATCAATGAAAAATGTAATCTTCATCAATGCATCAAAGAAACAATGAGGCAAATCGATCTCACAATGGACAGGCACTGACGTTATCGTGTCAGGTATTTTTGCAAGACGACACATGACACTTGTCGCATCTCTCCAATGTTGTACATTTTGAATATTCGAAGGGAATCCCGGGCTTTATCTCTAACGGTGATTTTCACATAATTGTTTACATAGGTATCACTGATTGTTCGAGCCATTTTGAATTCATGACTAGAAATTTTAATAAAAGGAATTAGAAAATAAATAGATTTGTGTTATATTTATTCTACTTGTGACTCATTGTATAAATACCTGTTTATGTTGCAATCGCGAAAATAACAGGTAGGTGTAAAGGGGTATCTTTTGCATGAGTAACAGGTTTCTGTTCGATTGAAGCATGAGTAACTTATCAATGAATTTTAATCAGGAAAGTAGTCCGTCATAACCTGACCCTAGGTCATCACCATGGCCAATCACGGGATTAGAAATCGATCTCGCACATATGTGTGATACCAGTTTTCTCACATGGGTTTCTCACCCACGGGTGTGTAAGAATGACGCTTCTTCTGTGCACATGTCAGTTAAATGATTTGTATACATAAGCAACATGACCCCCTGCCAACATTATGTCAGTATTCTTGGTGACATCCACAATTGTATCTCAATTGTTTCAGGACAGTCCCTGCGAAGAAGTCATTGGGTACTGATAGAATAAAAAAAACCATATTTCTCTTTGCTGATCCCCTCCCCAATATTTCTGTGTACCCCCTCCCCACCAGCCATGTGCCTTCCTGTCCCTCCCCCCCCACACAGTGTGGAAAACATGTTCCTCACAACATTCTCCCCCATACCTGTAGTTGATTTCTCCATCTCCATCCTTGTCCAGTTCCTCAATCAGTGATGCTATTTCTTCCTCCGTCAAATTAATACCAGTTTCCTGGAAAATAGTATATTCAACAATTAATATTGAACTCATGAGGGTTTCAAAGCCAACTTATTTCAAGATAAGATTATATTATCTAAATACAGCCTTAATTATAAACAATGAAGCAAAACAGTTGTTAGGAAAACTGAACACTTATATCAGAATGTTAGAATGTTACGACATCTATGACATGCTTGCAGAATATACATTTGTTGATCAGGGTGCTTGCTGACATCGGGACATGAAGATGTGATGAATATTTCTTGCAGCCAAAATTCCTATTTTTGATTGTGTCATGCTATTACTTCAACAAAATAAGCCAACTGGGCAATACATCCAGATAAAACATGAAGTTTGGCTGTGAAGCTGTGCAGTGAGCGAGTATTATTATAATGCTGCTTGTATCATTATTCCATCCCGCCTGGGGACACCATGAAACAGTTTCATACATGTACCCATGTAGTCAGCCAAGGCTCCTCGATCCCAAATGCCTGTTGTTGAACATGTAATCTATAACCAGCTGTGCATGGACACACATGGATTTATTTGCAGAGTCTAACTGAAAGGATCAGATGTTCTCAATAATTGTCAAATTTATTTATGCAGGGCTAAGGAAGCTTATAGTTAAAGTTGAAGTGATTCACACATTTGTTTTGATAACAACATTTACACAAAAACTCATTGCTATAGACTTATCTGACCCGTAAATAATTAATATACTCCAACATGGTTAGATTTCTATGTCAGTCTCCAACTTCTTCTATATTGTGAACCATTTATCACTTTGATATTTCTAATACCCATTAGAAATATTTCAGTGATAATAAAGAGAAAAATAAGACACTGCTTCATGATGATATTTTCCTTAAGTTAAAACACAATATGATAATCATAACACTCTAGATGCACAACCTTTCTCAGTGGAAGAAGTTACTTCATGCAACAATTTTCAAATGTTATCCGAGATCTGATTGGTCAGTTGATATCGCTAACACCAATTCATCAGTACACACAAGCCTCCACCAAGATATGCAAGCCTCCACCAAGAGAATTAATTGTATGGGCAGCAATGCAGCAGAGAAACAGAGGTGGCACCAACAGGTGGCACTGTGTTCACACTAAAAACCAAGCAACACTGGGATGACTAGAGGTCCTTCACAATGTCAAGATGGACAGCAACAACTCACACTTTCCATTTTGGTTTTACACAATTCCAATTAATTTTAACCCAAATTTATAGGTAACATTCAGCACCAAAAGCCAATTGCTGTGTTGAAAATAGGAGAAATACGGATATTAATTTTGTTTTTTCAAAATAGAAATGAATTGGTCTGGCTTCACATGCACGTGTAAGTCCATGACAACACCCAGAGAGTAGACAGATAGTATTAGAGGTTTAAACACATTACTTCAATTGTGTTCAGTCAAAATCATGAATGAATTAATGATATGAATAATATGATTTTCGTTCCCTTAAATATTTGATAAGATCTGATTGTTGAAACAGTGAATGACTGTAAGACTACATCAGCCCAAAGGTCATAAAGCAAACAGATTTTATGGTCTTCTGCTGTCAAAGTTCACGGTTGGACTTTGTGAGAGATTTGAGAGTGCTTATTAGGGTGACTACAGTAAGGATATAACACTGAAAGCAGGTGGGACGCCACAAAGACAAACACAACAGATATAAACATATGAAAAACCTGAACATTCTTTATAAAATATGATTTATATACATATATATCAGTTTATCCTTCATAATAGGCATCAGGCATTTAAGTTGCACATTGCTTTTCAATATCATCAAAATTACAAATGACAAGTTCCATCAGGAAATATTGACTAGTTTGTTACTACAGTCATGGAAGTTAGTCGACAACAATGATACAACTATTTGTTTGGGTTTATACAATCCCAGCAAATAGTCAGGGACATGAAGAGGATATTCAGGGTGTGGGTGCATGGTGTTGAAGGCCAGTCAGCAATATTCCACCTATGTCTGCCCGTATATAGTCAGGATATCCTAACCCAAGTCAGCCATTGTAACCATCCAATCCTCATTTAATCAGCTGGTACAGTGACCCAGGTGAGATGGACCTGCTGCCAGAGACCCTGTGGGTACACAAGACGAGTGAGCGAGTATGGTTTTATGCCGCTTTTAGTAATATTCCAGCAATATCATGGTGCAAGACACCAGAAATGGCCTTCACACATTGTACCCATGTGGGGGAATCGAACCCAGGTCTTCAGCATGACAAGCAAATGCTTAACCACTAGGCTACCCACAAGAGGAGGATACAACTCTCAACACTACAGGGCTGTGCCCCGCTGCAACATAGTGTGGTTATAACACAGGCTGGACATAGACAATATTAAGAGTTCAGTGGTACACAAAAGCAAAGTCTCCACACGGGCAAACCAGGGTTACCTTCTGGAATTTCTAGTGAAATAAACAAATAAACAACAGAATATAGACAACAAGGATGTAAATAATCAGATTTGAAGGAAGTTCATCAAAGTGAAGTTGGGATAGGTAACACAGTATTTACCCATTTTACGAGCTGCTTGTCGAATGTGAATAAAGTTGGTTGAAAACATGTCATGGTTCAAACTATATCAGATAAGATGCTACAGCTTCTGTATATAGATAGTGTATGTAATGTTACTATTGTTGTGGAGACAACACAGACACCCGTCATACACAGTGAGGTGGATACAGACAATATCTGACCATCTGTGGCTGATACATGCAGCATGCAGATTCACATCTCAGGCAGCAGACAAATTTTTCAGTTCAACACCTAATGATTTGTACCTTATATTTTCTTTGTTATGATTATCTGATCAAACTTTGTATTAAGTACATTGTACAATGGTATTTTGCAAAACATACATTAGAGTTTTCATTCCAGAAAGCAATGTTAGCACTAAAACAAGTGTCAAGTCCAAACTTTAACATAGACTTCTAATAATCATGAAACTTGAATCACTTCATGTCATGGGTCCCTGAGGCAAATCCTGTCCGTAGAATTAGAACTAAACCCCTAAAATCCAGATCACCATCCCTACCCCTACATTACCTGCAACCCACCCCTCCTCCCAAGTCCACTACCCTTCCCCTCCTACCTACCCCTACACCTGTCCAGCTTCCCTCCTATCTTCCCCTACACCTGTCCAGCTTCCCCTCCTATCTACCCCTTCCCCTCCTATCTTCCCCTACACCTGTCCAGCTTCCCCTCCTATCTTCCCCTACACCTGTCCAGCTTCCCTCCTATCTTCCCCTTTACACCTGTCCAGCTTCTCCTCCTATCTTCCCCCTACACCTGTCCACCCTTCCTCTCCTATCTTCCCCCTACACCTGTCCACACTTCCCCTCCTATCTACCCCCTTCCCTCCTATCTTCCCCTACACCTGTCCAGCTTCCCTCCTATCTTCCCCCTACACCTGTCCAGCTTCCTCCTATCTTCCCCTGCACCTGTCCAGCTTCCTCCTCCTCTTCCCCTACACCTGTCCACCCTTGCCCTCCTATCTTCCCCTACACCTGTCCAGCTTCCCTCCTATCTGTCCCCTTCCCTCCTATCTACCTCTACACCACCCTGTCCAGCTTCCCCCTACCTACCCCACCTTCCCTCCTACTCTACCCCTCCACCCCTCCCCTCCTACCTGTCCAGCTTCCCCTCCTATCTACCCCTACACACCTGTCCAGCTTCCCTCCTTTCTTCACCCTGTCCAGCTTCCCTCCCTATCTACCCCCTTCCCCTCCTACCTACCCATACACCTGTCCAGCTTCCCTCCTATCTACCCCCTTCCCCTCCTATCTTATCTCCCTACACCTGTCCACCCTTCCCTCCTATCTTCCTCTACACCTGTCCACCTGTCCTTCCTTCTCCCTGTCCACCCTTCCCTCCTATCTTCCCCCTACACCTGTCCAGCTTCCCCTCCTATCTACCCCCTACACCTGTCCACCCTTCCCTCCTATCTTCCTCTACACCTGTCCACACTTCCCTCCTATCTACCCCCTACACCTGTCCAGCTTCCCTCCTATCTCCTCCTTCCCCTACACCTGTCCAGCTTCCCTCCCATCTACCCCTTCCCCTCCTGTCTACCTCTACACCCGTCCAGCTTCCCTCCTATCTACCCCTACACCTGTCCACCCTTCCCTCCTTCCCACCCCTACACTTGTCCAGCTTTCCCTCCTATCTACCCCAATACCTGTCCAGCTTCCCCTCCTATTTACCCCCCTATACCTGTCCACCCTTCCCTCCTACCCACCCCCTACACCTGTCCACCCTTCCCCTCCTATCTTCCCCCTACACCTGTCCACCCCTTCCCCTCCTATCTACCCCTACACCTGTCCACCCTTCCCCTCCTATCTACCCCTACACCTGTCCACCCTTGCCCTCCTATCTTCCCCTACACCTGTCCACCCTTCCCCTCCTATCTACCCCTACACCTGTCCACCTTCCCCTCCCATCTACCCCTACAACTGTCCACCCTTTCCCTCCTATCTTCCCTACACCCAAGCAACCCTTCTGTCCACCGTGTGTTCCAGAGCTGAGACCTCACCTCCAGCCCCTGTATAAACTCTTCATGAGTGACACTCATGCTCTTGTCCTTGTCGAACTTGTTGAAGAAGTCGACCAGCCTCAGGTCATGCTTTTCGATGTAGGAGGCTAGCTTCATCATGGGTGGGATCCTGGCTTTAGGTTTCAGAGGCGGTTCCATGCCTCCATGCCACATCTTGATGCCCGGGATCTGCTCCTGAACCTGCTTGAAAATTTCTGTGAAGTCCTCGTTCACTAAAATATCCTGGAAGATGGGAGGTTGGAGAGAGTCAGTGAGTCATTAAGTAAAGTTTTGGAAATACTCCAACAGTATCATAGCGAAGGTTACCCATGCAGGTAAATGAACTGAGATAAATATGGTAGTATGACCACATATCACCTATGTGTCATATATCATAGCAAATGTTGACCATTTGAACCTTTCACTTTGCTATTTGAACAACTTGCATATTTTATTCATATAATCATATATGACTAAATCAGTGAAGATCCAGGTTAGAATTAATCTTCAGTAACCCATGCTTGTCATAAAAGGCGACTAACGGGATCGGTTGGTCAGGCTCGCTGACTTGGTTGACACATGTCATCGTTTCCCAGTTGCGTAGATCGACACTCTTGCTGTTGATCACTGGATTGTCTGGTCTAGACTTGATTATTTACAGACCGCTGCCATATAGCTGGAATACTGAAGAGTGCAGCATAAAACTAAACTCACTCACTCATATAAGACTATTATAATAAATATGTAATTTTTGGAGTAAAATTGATATTTTATACTTATCCTGACTCATGCTCTTTTTGCTTGTCTTCTTCTTCTTGCGAACATAGTGGAACACTTGTATCTCCCTAATTGAAGCTCCCTTCAATTTAAAATCACTAATTAGTATTCACCACGAGTTACCTCCTTTCCACAAGCTCGGGAACGAGGGCGCCACCTCTACCCATGTGCCTCACTCTCTCCTCATATACTGAGCCCAACATTTGAATTTACAGGGAAATCCAAAGTGTTATTTGGGGAGGATGGGAGGGCTGACCTCATGAGTCAGGATAAGTATAAAATATCAATTTTACTCCAAAATTACATATTTTTCCTTATCCTGACTCATGCTCTTTTGCTTGTAGCATCCTACTGGAACGGAGGTGGGAATATCTAATACTTTGGATTTTTAATAATTAGTGATTTGAACTGTGATGATTGTAATAACCCTATGGGAACTTCATAAAGGCACTGAACTGATGAATTCCTGCTGCTAACTTATCAGCTGCCATATAAAAGGTTATTACCATGTACTTATTATGATAAAGTATATATAACATTAATACAATGCTTAAGACTAATAGACTTAAGCTTGTTAATATGCTAGTATAAACTCCTTAGAGTTTGTTAGCTAAAATACTTTAAGATATAACATAGTACTAAGCTTAAGATATGATTAAACTTAAGCTAATTATATAATAGCAAACTCTTTAGAGTTTGTTAGTTAATATACTTATATGATATAGATATAATGCTGAGCTTAAGATATGAATAAGCTTTAGCTACATATATAATAGCAAAAACTCTGTAGAGTTTGTTAGGTAATATATTTTTATAATATGAGTATAGTACTGTGCTTAAGCTATAATTAACTTAAGCTACATATATAATAGCCAAACTCTGTAGAGTTTGTTAGCTAATATATTTTTATAATATGAGTATAGTACTGTGCTTAAGCTATAATTAACTTAAGCTACATATATAATAGCCAAACTCTGTAGAGTTTGTTAGCTAATATATATTTATAATATTAGTATAGTACTGAGCTTAAGATATAATTAACTTAAGCTACATATATATAGCAAAACTCTGTAGGGTTTTGTTAGCTAATATATTTTACAATATGAGTATAGTAGTGTGCTTAAGATATAATTAACTTAAGCTACATATATAATAGCAAAACTCCGTAGAGTTTGTTAGCTAATATATTTTACAATATGAGTATAGTAGTGTGCTTAAGATATAATGAACTTAAGCTACATATATAATAGCAAAACTCCGTAGAGTTTGTTAGCTAATATATTTTTACAATATGAGTATAGTATTGTGCTTAAGATATTATTAACTTAAGCTACATATATAATAGCCAAAAACTCTGTAGAGTTTATTAGCTAATATTTTTATAGTGTAACCATAGTACTAAGCTTAAGATAAGATTAGACTTAAGCTAAATGTATATAGCAAAATAAACTCCTTAGAGTTTATTAACTAATATACTTTTATGTTAAAAACATAGTACTGAGCTTAAGTTATGATGAAACTTAAGCTATATATATATAATAACAAAACTCACGAAGAGGTTTTGTTAGCTAATACCTTTATAATGTAAACATACTGCTTAAGATATGATGAAACTTAAGCTAATTGTATAAAAGCGAAACAACCCTTTAGAGTTTGTTAGCTATGATATAAACCTAGTATTGAGCTTATGAAGGAAAACTTAAGCTACATATATAATAGCAAGAACTCCGTGAGAGTTTGTTAGCTAATACATGTTATAATGTAACCATAAAGCTTAAAATATGATGAAACTTAAGCGAAAATATATAATAGCAAAACCCTCTTTTAGAGTTTTGATAGCTAATATACCTATATGATATAAACATAGTACTGCTTAAGATATGAATAAGCTTAAGTTACATATATAATAGCTAAAACTCTGTAGAGTTTGTTAGCTAATACATGTTATAATATAACCATATTGCTTAGAAATATGATGATACTTAAGCCAAATAGCAAAAAACTCTTTAGAGTTTGTTAGCTAATCTACTTATATGATATAAACATAGTACTAAGCTTAAGATATGAATAAGCTTAAGCTACCTATATAATAGCAAAACTCCTTAGAGTTTGTTAGCCAATATATTTTAATAATATGAGTATAGTACTATGCTTAAGGTATAATTAGCTTAAGTTAGCTATATAATAGTAAAACTCTGTAGAGTTTGTTAGCTTAATTAACTTAAGCTATGTATAAAATAGCCAAAAACTCTGTAGAGTTTGTTAGCTAATGCATTTATCATGTAACCATAGTATTACTCTTAAGATATGAATAACTTAAGGTAAATATATATAATAACAAACTCTGTATAGTTGTTAACTTATATATTGTATGATGTAATAATCATAGTACTGTGATGATAAAAGGAACTTAAGTAAATTATACATAGCATGAAGCTATTTAGTATTGTTATAAGATAAGTAAAAATCTGTTAGATTGACTTATCTTCTCCGAGGAACTGTCAGCTGTTGTGCGAGGACCATGGGATCGAATTGGTGTATACCTGAGACGTCCTCGGTGGTGATATCTCTCAGATAATGGTTTGCAACCACCATATCGGATTTCCAGAAATTAACCCTCCATTATTTCAATCACATTTGTGTAGAACAATTGTAGAAGTTAGCTTATAATATCATGAGTATTAAGCTCATGGAGGGTCGGAATAGGTCCATCCGCGATATGCACGTAGTATGACAGTTCTGATCCAAATGGAGATATAGTACATGAGACTTCACTCTATGTAAGTTGATGATAGAGGAAATAATCTGTTGCATTTTTCCTCCTGTTTGGTTTGGTGGAGATAAATTTACAGTGCTCTTGCTGGCCATCTTGATAGAATCATCGTTATCATGGGGTCCAAGTATGTCATCCAGGCGTGTTCATAAACCTCACTTGTGAGGTGTTGGAGCACTATATTCATATCCCCAGGTTGGGCGAAAATTTCCGCTTTATTCTCCAAACAGAAGTTTAGTAGGTTTACTAACCATCTAGTTGTGTTAGTCGCTTGATGAAATTCAGCTGTAGTCTGAAACGCTGTGGATTTAGATCCACTTGTATCTTTCGCCTAGGTAATTCGCTGCATGAAGTCCTTTGACGATGTAGGTGCACAACCAGGTGTGTCTGTCCTCGCTGAACTTTATGTAAAATCGCCTGACTGCCGATCCCTCGCCTTAACTTGACAGGGGACGCCTCTAACTTGAAGAAAGGCAGTCTAATCATGAATGTTCAGGTTAACTGGACTGTAAAGAGGCTTGCTCGCTCACTGATATATAGTTGTCACTTGTGACGTAAGTCTTGAACTGTGAATTGAGATCGACCTCTGTGTAGGTCGCTTGTCCCTCAGCGGTCCAATCAGAACAAGGCATTTTGATTCTGTATAATACCCGCTGCTGTGATGTCACCGGTGTAGCGGAAAAAACCCACCTTGAATAAATTCTTGTCGCCGCTTGATATTAGCATAAACGCCGGTCTTCACCGTAGCTTCCGGTTATCCGGTGACCACGGTTTCGAGGGTTAATGGTAATCGCTATGCGAAACCTCCGCCGCGAAATATCTCGCTCTGTAATTTTATGCTGGGTAGGTTATTTTCCTGGTTGTCGTGAAAGTAATTTCAGTTTTGAATATAATTCCGACTTCCTTATATATAAGGGTATAAACAACTTGCAAGTTGTGAGCTTGTAGACTGTATACATGAATGTATCGTCATAATTGTAGAATTAACGTTGAACTTGTTGTACATATTTCTTCTCAGAAACTTTGACGATTAAGAGTTATACTCGCTGTAACAAGGCTGCTGTTCAATTTCGATATTGAATTGTCTGCAGATATGCGTAATGGTCACGCGCATGTAGATATATCGTGTATCGTCGTCCGGGATTGTATATTAGCAATTTATAATGAATAGTTGATTTCTGTGAAGATCTATGAAATGTCGCTGACTAATAATACAGCGGCGCTTGTGTTGTAAATAGCCTGAGCAATTATCTTCGCAGAGGCTTTATAGACGGCATCTGGCATACAGTTGATAATCAACTTATGTGACGCCTTGAAACGGACTGACGAGTAGCTATATATGACGAGTGGCTAGTATATGGAAACCTTGGAGGAGATTTCCTCGGTGAACGCCGAGACTTAGCGAAGTTCTCAAGTATCCCTTCTAGATCTTCTGGGTGAAGTAGACTTGGAGCCACTTAGCCTTCGTGACCATCGCTGAAGGTGTCGAGTCAAAGCCCGATTAGTATATATATATATATTTAAATATATATATGAGCTTGCTTTGTGAACAGCCTCTGTGTTTAACAGGATGTGGGATCGGCGGCGAGCGCTTGCCTGAAGTAGGGTCGCATGGATCATCTTATCATATTCAGAAGTCGTTATTACGAAGTCTGGTGATAAGTGTCTAATTGATCGTTCTAGATCTATTTAGGCCAGCGAACATACGTCCTCGTCATGGATTCAACAGAACCAATATACGATTGTAGTTCTTATACTTGATATCGATGATCAACTTGTCTATGGGTTGATCTTCTCGAGACTTGTGAGGGAACGTTGATAGTTTCAGCGAAGCTCTTGTATAGTCCCTCGATGTCCTTCTAGATTATGATGATCTGGATTCAGGTGTCGCCCGCGCATGCCTTCGCTGGCTTCCTCTGCGTCCGGTCCGAGGAACGACGATATGACCTTCGCTCGAAGGCTTCCGTGATGTCTGATGGTCCGAGTCCACATCTAGGGATGAAACCGCGATAAGGTGATGATCTATCCTGCCTTCGCGAAGTCCTTCGCGGGCTGTACATCTAGGTTCTTTCGCCCAGCGAAGGCTGTACATCTAGGTCCTTTCCGCCGCGAAGGCTGTACATCTAGGTCCTTCGTCAAGGTGGTCCGTGACTTCGCCAGCGAAGGTGACATCGTCCCTGGCTGCTACGTTGACGGGGGTGCCTCTGGGGTGCTGTCTCACGTTGGAGCCTTCGCTGCTCGGACCCTGCTACCGCAGATATAGTGGTCCTCCATGATGTTCATAATTTGTCGCATCATGTCTTCTGGGATGGTCTGCGGCGAGGTCGCCGGTGCTTTATCTGCAGTGTTAATGGAGGGGTCCACCGGAAAATCGTCCGACATCAGTGTAGAGGCATCAGGCTGCATGGTGATCTCTGCTGATGTCGCTGTAGCTGTCACCGGTCGCTTCTTGTGGCGTCGTCGGGATGATGATCAGCTGATCATCGAGAGGTCCAGGTCATCGGCTGGAACAATCTCGGTTGAGAAAGTCCTAGTAGACTTCGCTTGATTTTCCCTCAGAGGTCGGCGCTGCCCTGGGTGTCGCGGCGCCTGCGTTGAGTGTTGGTAATGATGGGACCCTCAGGACGATCATCGCATATCTGCGTTGGTACATCAGGCTGCATGCTGATCTGAGCGACATCGGTCAATCTTTGATGTACATCTGGTATGATGACCGGCTGATCATCAAACAGGCCCAAACTGCGATGGGAACGGTCTCGGCTGTTGAGATGTGGTAGAAAAACCCTCTAGTCTTCTGCTGCGACGATGGGATGTCTGGGGAAGCAGGATGCTTCTTGGAGATGGCGGACTACGTCCCACACCTCTCCACCACTCTAGCGGAACACCACACGGGAGGGGAGTCGGCCAACAGCAGTAGACTGGCGAAGGGTTCCGTGTATCAGTCATACTAGACTCTGCATCGCGCGACCTATCTGCTGTGCGTGCCAAACGCAAAGTAAATATTAATAAAAAGGTAGAATTGGATAAATTAGTACCGCAACTGCAATGTGAATATAATAAACATGGCGCCGTACATCATATTAAAGGCGGATCAGCAGCAGCATAAAAAACGTAATCTGCAATAGTACAGAATTTTCATCAACGTAATCCACTGAAACAAACACGGCGTCCCGTGAATAAACTGTAGAAAAACGACTAAATATCAATATATAATCGTTGAAGGATACTAGCTAAACCTCTATAGATGTCTATACGAGGTAACTAACTAAATATAATTCAAAGGATATAGTGTGTCGGGAGACACAGGCGCTCTCACGTCCAGCTCACTGGGCGAAGAAGGAGAGAGTGAGGCACATGGGTAGAGGTGGCGCCCTCGTTCCCGCGCTTGTGGAAAGGAGGTAACTCGTGGTGAATACTAATTAGTGATTTTAAATTGAAGGGAGCTTCAATTAGGGAGATACAAGTGTTCCACTATGTTCGCAAGAAGAAGAAGACAAGCAAAAAGAGCATGAGTCAGGATAAGGAAAAATAAATAACTTCCAAGGTGTACTCACAGAAAAGTCTATGAGTCTGAGGACACAGCTGGGGTTCTTCAATATGGCTGCACAGATGGCCCAACAGCCTCCCGTCTGCATCGGGTTCTGACCCATCTGGAAGGAAGGGAGTGAGTGAGTGGGTGATAGCATACACAAGGCCAGGTGAATCCTTACCTAGTTTTACATAGGTGTTCTCATATAGAAGGCCAGGTGAATCCTGACCTAGTTTTACATAGGTGTTCTCATACAGAAGGTCAGGATAAACCTGACCTAGTTTTACATAGGTGTTCTCATATAGAAGGCCAGGTTAAACCTGACCTAGTTTTACATAGGTGTTCTCATATGGAAGGCCAGGATAAACCTGACCTAGTTTTACAAAGGTGTTCTCATATAGAAGGCCAGGTGAATCCTGACCTTGTTTTATCAAGATGTTTTCTATGAGGGTGTTTTCTGGCCTTATCAACGGGCGAAGACCCAATAATGAAGTAATAATGGCCTACTGTTATCTGATCGATCCTTGGACGCATAACATGCAACTATCTGACAAACTGGAATAGTCTTCTCACCTTCAGCACTTGCAGTGTTTCATTGAGGGAGAGACCCTTCCCGATTAGCACAGCCCCTTCTGTGGTTATTCTGTTGTTTCTGCAAAATGGAATCACAATAAATCTTCACCACAAAATATCATGCTTTACACTTTTCACCAAGACACTGTGCGAGTGTTGAGGGTGTCAAAAGCAAGTGTTTGGTTTGATACTTCACACATTACATCCATGATGGCCTTTGTCCTCAGGTCTTCAGCATGAGAAGACTACGCTTTAACATTGCCAGACCTCTCTTTCCAAATCCATGTCCTAGGTGAATGAGCATTCTATACATCCCAGCCCTACCCTGTCCCTTGAGAAACAAGAGAATACACCTCCTTGCCTCAACCAGTTCCCTTGAGGGACCAGCAGATACCTCACTGCCCTTCTTGGTCCTTGGTGTAAAGGCTTACTGGTGAAGCAGCAGACCACACCTCCCCCACCCACAGCTACTGATGAAGCAGCAGACCACACCTCCCAGACCCACACCTACTGGTGAAGCAGCAGACCACACCTCCCAGACCCACACCTACTGGTGAAGCAGCAGACCACACCTCCCCGACCCACACCTACTGGTGAAGCAGCAGACGACACCTCCCCGACCCACACCTACTGGTGAAGCAGCATACGACACCTCCCAGACCCACACCTACTGGTGAAGCAGCAGACGACACCTCCCAGACCCACACCTACTGAAGAAGCAGCAGACGACGCCTCCCAGACCCACACCTACTGGTGAAGCAGCAGACGACACCTCCCAGACCCACACCTACTGGTGAAGCAGCTGACGACACCTCCCAGAACCACACCTACTGATGAAGCAGCAGACAACGCCTCCTCGACCCACACCTACTGATGAAGCAGCAGACGACGCCTCCTCGACCCACACCTACTGGTGAAGCAGCAGACCACACCTTCCAGACCCACACCTACTGGTGAAGCAGCAGACCACACCTCCCCCACCCACAGCTACTGGTGAAGCAGCAGACCACACCTTCCAGACCCACACCTACTGGTGAAGCAGCAGACCACACCTCCCCGACCCACACCTACTGGTGAAGCAGCAGACCACACCTCCCCGACCCACACCTACTGGTGAAGCAGCAGACCACACCTTCCAGACCCACTACAACTGGTGAAGCAGCAGACCACACCTCCCCCACCCACAGCTACTGGTGAAGCAGCAGACCACACCTCCCCGACCCACACCTACTGGTGAAGCAGCAGACCACACCTCCCCGACCCACACCTACTGGTGAAGCAGCAGACCACACCTCCCAGACCCACACCTACTGGTGAAGCAGCAGACCACACCTTCCAGACCCACTACAACTGGTGAAGCAGCAGACCACACCTCCCCGACCCACACCTACTGGTGAAGCAGCAGACCACACCTTCCAGACCCACTACAACTGGTGAAGCAGCAGACCACACCTCCCCGACCCACACCTACTGGTGAAGCAGCAGACCACACCTCCCCGACCCACACCTACTGGTGAAGCAGCAGACCACACCTCCCCGACCCACACCTACTGGTGAAGCAGCAGACCACACCTCCCCGACCCACACCTACTGGTGAAGCAGCAGACCACACCTCCCCGACCCACACCTACTGGTGAAGCAGCAGACGACGCCTCCCAGACCCACACCTACTGGTGAAGCAGCAGACGACGCCTCCCCGACCCACACCTACTGACGAAGCAGCTGACGACACCTCCCGAACTACTCACCCAATGTCAAGTTCCTCCAGCACTGAGTTGTTCTTTACAGCGTCGGCAAGGGCAATGGATCCCTCCAGCCCAAACCCATTCCATGATAAATTCACTTTCTTCATAAATACATTGTTCTGCAAGTGGAAATATTACTTGATGACACAGAATGAATAAATAATTGTTACCTAGGCTCTTTTACCAGTGTATTATGCATTTCATAATGAGGTATGCTCAAAATGAAAACTTGTCACACCAGGTGGTACAGCTTCAATGGGCAAGGTTTAGTTACAACAGCCCTTAGTGTCACACCAGGTGGTACAGCTTCAATGGGCAAGGTTTAGTTACAACAGCCCTTAGTGTCACACCAGGTGGTACAGCTTCAATGGGCAAGGTTTAGTTACAACAGCCCTTAGTGTCACACCAGGTGGTACAGCTTCAATGGGCAAGGTTTAGTTACAACAGCCCTTAGTGTCACACCAGGTGGTACAGCTTCAATGGGCAAGGTTTAGTTACAACAGCCCTTAGTGTCACACCAGGTGGTACAGCTTCAATGGGCAAGGTTTAGTTACAACAGCCCTTAGTGTCACACCAGGTGGTACAGCTTCAATGGGCAAGGTTTAGTTACAACAGCCCTTAGTGTCACACCAGGTGGTACAGCTTCAATGGGCAAGGTTTAGTTACAACAGCCCTTAGTGTCACACCAGGTGGTACAGCTTCAATGGGCAAGGTTTAGTTACAACAGCCCTTAGTGTCACACCAGGTGGTACAGCTTCAATGGGCAAGGTTTAGTTACAACAGCCCTTAGTGTCACACCAGGTGGTACAGCTTCAATGGGCAAGGTTTAGTTACAACAGCCCTTAGTGTCACACCAGGTGGTACAGCTTCAATGGGCAAGGTTTAGTTACAACAGCCCTTAGTGTCACACCAGGTGGTACAGCTTCAATGGGCAAGGTTTGGTTACAACAGCCCTTAGTGTCACACCAGGTGGTACAGCTTCAATGGGCAAGGTTTAGTTACAACAGCCCTTAGTGTCACACCAGGTGGTACAGCTTCAATGGGCAAGGTTTAGTTACAACAGCCCTTGAGTGTCACACCAGGTGGTACAGCTTCAATGGGCAAGGTTTAGTTACAACAGCCCTTAGTGTCACACCAGGTGGTACAGCTTCAATGGGCAAGGTTTAGTTACAACAGCCCTTAGTGTCACACCAGGTGGTACAGCTTCAATGGGCAAGGTTTAGTTACAACAGCCCTTAGTGTCACACCAGGTGGTACAGCTTCAATGGGCAAGGTTTAGTTACAACAGCCCTTAGTGTCACACCAGGTGGTACAGCTTCAATGGGCAAGGTTTAGTTACAACAGCCCTTAGTGTCACACCAGGTGGTACAGCTTCAATGGGCAAGGTTTAGTTACAACAGCCCTTAGTGTCACACCAGGTGGTACAGCTTCAACGGGCAAGGTTTAGTTACAACAGCCCTTAGTGTCACACCAGGTGGTACAGCTTCAATGGGCAAGGTTTAGTTACAACAGCCCTTAGTGTCACACCAGGTGGTACAGCTTCAATGGGCAAGGTTTAGTTACAACAGCCCTTAGTGTCACACCAGGTGGCACAGCTTCAATGGGCAAGGTTTAGTTACAACAGCCCTTAGTGTCACACCAGGTGGTACAGCTTCAATGGGCAAGGTTTAGTTACAACAGCCCTTAGTGTCACACCAGGTGGTACAGCTTCAATGGGCAAGGTTTAGTTACAACAGCCCTTAGTGTCACACCAGGTGGTACAGTGTCACACCCCAGGTGGTACAGCTTCAATGGGCAAGGTTTAGTTACAACAGCCCTTAGTGTCACACCAGGTGGTACAGCTTCAATGGGCAAGGTTTAGTTACAACAGCCCTTAGTGTCACACCAGGTGGTACAGCTTCAATGGGCAAGGTTTAGTTACAACAGCCCTTAGTGTCACACCAGGTGGTACAGCTTCAATGGGCAAGGTTTAGTTACAACAGCCCTTAGTGTCACACCAGGTGGTACAGCTTCAATGGGCAAGGTTTAGTTACAACAGCCCTTAGTGTCACACCAGGTGGTACAGCTTCAATGGGCAAGGTTTAGTTACAACAGCCCTTAGTGTCACACCAGGTGGTACAGCTTCAATGGGCAAGGTTTAGGTTACAACAGCCCTTAGTGTCACACCAGGTGGTACAGCTTCAATGGGCAAGGTTTAGTTACAACAGCCCTTAGTGTCACACCAGGTGGTACAGCTTCAATGGGCAAGGTTTAGTTACAACAGCCCTTAGTGTCACACCAGGTGGTACAGCTTCAATGGGCAAGGTTTAGTTACAACAGCCCTTAGTGTCACACCAGGTGGTACAGCTTCAATGGGCAAGGTTTAGTTACAACAGCCCTTAGTGTCACACCAGGTGGTACAGCTTCAATGGGCAAGGTTTAGTTACAACAGCCCTTAGTGTCACACCAGGTGGTACAGCTTCAATGGGCAAGGTTTAGTTACAACAGCCCTTAGTGTCACACCAGGTGGTACAGCTTCAATGGGCAAGGTTTAGTTACAACAGCCCTTAGTGTCACACCAGGTGGTACAGCTTCAATGGGCAAGGTTTAGTTACAACAGCCCTTAGTGTCACACCAGGTGGTACAGCTTCAATGGGCAAGGTTTAGTTACAACAGCCCTTAGTGTCACACCAGGTGGTACAGCTTCAATGGGCAAGGTTTAGTTACAACAGCCCTTAGTGTCACACCAGGTGGTACAGCTTCAATGGGCAAGGTTTAGTTACAACAGCCCTTAGTGTCACACCAGGTGGTACAGCTTCAATGGGCAAGGTTTAGTTACAACAGCCCTTAGTGTCACACCAGGTGGTACAGCTTCAATGGGCAAGGTTTAGTTACAACAGCCCTTAGTGTCACACCAGGTGGTACAGCTTCAATGGGCAAGGTTTAGTTACAACAGCCCCAGTGTCACACCAGGTGGTACAGCTTCAATGGGCAAGGTTTAGTTACAACAGCCCTTAGTGTCACAATTCAGGTGGTACAGCTTCAATGGGCAAGGTTTAGTTACAACAGCCCTTAGTGTCACACCAGGTGGTACAGCTTCAATGGGCAAGGTTTAGTTACAACAGCCCTTAGTGTCACACCAGGTGGTACAGCTTCAATGGGCAAGGCAAGGCTTTGGGCAAGGTTACAACAGCCCTTAGTGTCACACCAGGTGGTACAGCTTCAATGGGCAAGGTTTAGTTACAACAGCCCTTAGTGTCACACCAGGTGGTACAGCTTCAATGGGCAAGGTTTAGTTACAACAGCCCTTAGTGTCACACCAGGTGGTACAGCTTCAATGGGCAAGGTTTAGTTACAACAGCCCTTAGTGTCACACCAGGTGGTACAGCTTCAATGGGCAAGGTTTAGTTACAACAGCAAGCCCTAGTGTCACACCAGGTGGTACAGCTTCAATGGGCAAGGTTTAGTTACAACAGCCCTTAGTGTCACACCAGGTGGTACAGCTTCAATGGGCAAGGTTTAGTTACAACAGCCCTTAGTGTCACACCAGGTGGTACAGCTTCAATGGGCAAGGTTTAGTTACAACAGCCCTTAGTGTCACACCAGGTGGTACAGCTTCAATGGGCAAGGTTTAGTTACAACAGCCCTTAGTGTCACACCAGGTGGTACAGCTTCAATGGGCAAGGTTTAGTTACAACAGCCCTTAGTGTCACACCAGGTGGTACAGCTTCAATGGGCAAGGTTTAGTTACAACAGCCCTTAGTGTCACACCAGGTGGTACAGCTTCAATGGGCAAGGTTTAGTTACAACAGCCCTTAGTGTCACACCAGGTGGTACAGCTTCAATGGGCAAGGTTTAGTTACAACAGCCCTTAGTGTCACACCAGGTGGTACAGCTTCAATGGGCAAGGTTTAGTTACAACAGCCCTTAGTGTCACACCAGGTGGTACAGCTTCAATGGGCAAGGTTTAGTTACAACAGCCCTTAGTGTCACACCAGGTGGTACAGCTTCAATGGGCAAGGTTTAGTTACAACAGCCCTTAGTGTCACACCAGGTGGTACAGCTTCAATGGGCAAGGTTTAGTTACAACAGCCCTTCACACCAGGTGTCACACCAGGTGGTACAGCAGCCCTTAGTGTCTTCAATGGGCAAGGTTTAGTTACAACAGCCCTTAGTGTCACACCAGGTGGTACAGCTTCAATGGGCAAGGTTGGATTACAACAGCCCTTAGTGTCACACCAGGTGGTACAGCTTCAATGGGCAAGGTTTAGAGTTACAACAGCCCTTAGTGTCACACCAGGTGGTACAGCTTCAATGGGCAAGGTTTAGTTACAACAGCCCTTAGTGTCACACCAGGTGGTACAGCTTCAATGGGCAAGGTTTAGTTACAACAGCCCTTAGTGTCACACCAGGTGGTACAGCTTCAATGGGCAAGGTTTAGTTACAACAGCCCTTAGTGTCACACCAGGTGGTACAGCTTCAATGGGCAAGGTTTAGTTACAACAGCCCTTAGTGTCACACCAGGTGGTACAGCTTCAATGGGCAAGGTTTAGTTACAACAGCCCTTAGTGTCACACCAGGTGGTACAGCTTCAATGGGCAAGGTTTAGTTACAACAGCCCTTAGTGTCACACCAGGTGGTACAGCTTCAATGGGCAAGGTTTAGTTACAACAGCCCTTAGTGTCACACCAGGTGGTACAGCTTCAATGGGCAAGGTTTAGTTACAACAGCCCTTAGTGTCACACCAGGTGGTACAGCTTCAATGGGCAAGGTTTAGTTACAACAGCCCTTAGTGTCACACCAGGTGGTACAGCTTCAATGGGCAAGGTTTAGTTACAACAGCCCTTAGTGTCACACCAGGTGGTACAGCTTCAATGGGCAAGGTTTAGTTACAACAGCCCTTAGTGTCACACCAGGTGGTACAGCTTCAATGGGCAAGGTTTAGTTACAACAGCCCTTAGTGTCACACCAGGTGGTACAGCTTCAATGGGCAAGGTTTAGTTTACAACAGCCCTTAGTGTCACACCAGGTGGTACAGCTTCAATGGGCAAGGTTTAGTTACAACAGCCCTTAGTGTCACACCAGGTGGTACAGCTTCAATGGGCAAGGTTTAGTTACAACAGCCCTTAGTGTCACACCA